GGGGGGGGGGGGGGGGAATCCCTACATGCAACACTGTCACCTGTAGGACGCTGACCGTTACACGCATCCAAAGATACAACATCATCAACTTTGTAAACATTAGTAGAAGTGTGTACTGATGACCATGTGACCGCCTTGGAAACCCGAGAGCCAGACGTTGGATGATAAAAAGCCCAAGACACGATAACCGTTCTAGTGGAATGGGCCATGGCAGGACAAAGAGGTGCCTGAGGTCTGACGGTATAGGCCTAGGTGATGGTCTGTCTAATCTCTTTCAATATAATGGCTGAGGAGGCCGCTTAGCCTTTGCCTAGGCCAGTGAAACTCCTACCACCATTATGACATCCAATTATTGAAGCAATATTTTCTTAGGATGTTCCAGTCAGGCACAAAGGGAGCAGACCATCCACATTTAGTTGAAAGGCAGAAACCATCTTCGACAAATAGGAAGGCCAAGGGCAAAGAACCACCTTGTCTTTATGTAAAACCAAAAAAGGGAGGCTTTCAAGACGAGGATGCCAATTGTGAAACCCTCTGGGCTGGGCTAGGTACAAAGACAAACATGTTTGTCTTTGTACCTAGTGTCCTACTCCTGCAGGTGGCACTATAACCCCAATGGTCAGATCTTCACTGTGTTCTTCAATGAATGGAGGAGAAAATCATGTCTCCTCCCGTCAGACTGGGCTGTGCTGTGTGACGGACCTGTGTATATCACGGGATTGGATGAACAGAAAAACAAAACCTTTGGCAGGTAAAATAACTCATATGTATATTTCCGGAGTTCAACCTTAAAGCTCATATCCAGGCACAGTTATTTTTTTACCGCTATTAAATTTTTTTTAAACTCAACATTAAAACTGTAATTTTTTTATTTCATCCGGAGCGCTCCGCAAGCTCCACTAGGCGCTGCTGCTATGTACACCGGGGAGCTGCACTTCCAGCTCCCTGCTGCATTGAAACAGTGTCCATCATAGCCACTAGTTCCGGGGTTGTGTCTCCACCCCCCTCACAAAGCACAGTGATGGCGCTGCATCTGTGAATGGCACAGGAACTGGTGTCCATCACACTGTTTTGAAGCAGAGGGGAGATGGGTGTGCAGCTCACACTGTACATTCCAGCAGCACTCAGCAGAGCTTAGAAAGAAAACATTGTTTTAATAAAAGTAAAAAAAAATATTTCACAAAAAAGTAAAAATCGCTGTGTCTGGAGATGGGCTCTAAGTACGCCTGACACATGATATGCATTTCTTTATTCTAAAAACAACGTAGAAGATAAAACACAACTTATTTGGCCTTACAATACAGACAAATGTGGATATGGGTCATACAAAAAAGTGTACACTCCTAAAAGGCAGCGCGCACACTCCTAAAAGGCAGCGCGCACACTCCTAAAAGGCAGCGCGTACACTCCTAAAGGCAGCGCGCACACTCCTGAAGGCAGCGCGCACACTCCTAAAAGGCAGCGCGCACACTCCTAAAGGCAGCGCGTACACTCCTAAAGGCAGCGCGTACACTCCTAAAGGCAGCGCATACACTCCTAAAGGCAGCGCGTACACTCAAGAGCGTCTATCCCGTAATCAAATGAACGTTTTTTTCCTTAGCTATATAAAACGTTGCCAGTCATATGTCAGTAGTTAGATCATACAGTTTTATCTTCACCTCACAAAGACGGCAATGAAATGCCCCGATTGTGTAATACAAACTCTATACAGAAAAAGAACAATATATCGGGGATATTTACATAAAACAAACCATGACAATCATATTTTCATAACCACAAAGCCGCAATCCTCTATCCCAAATAAAAAAGACAAAATACCCTTTGATAGCACATTGCAGCCCTGGAATCCCAGCTATGCGCTCTTACACAGAGATGATGTCAATACTTGTTTGTAACAACAGGTTTGAATTGATAACTTCTCATTGGGCACAACGGGGCCTAACAATTGTCATAGAAATAAATACTATGTACAGGATTCAAAAACAACTACTTTGCCCACAATGTATGTCTCCGTTTTGGAAGGGGTGTGTGTGTAAAGCTGGCCATACACCTTACAATTATCTGCAGACTTTCTATGGTCAGATGGAAAAGGTGCAACAGATTCCTCCAACTACAATAGACTGTGTGAATGGGGGAATCTCCACCTGGGCCAATCTGTTGCACTTTTTCCATCTGACCACAGAAAATCTGCAGATAATTGTAAGGTGTGTGGGCACCTTAAGGTGTATGGGCACCTTTAGAGCAATCAAACTTTCAGTTGAAATCAGCTAAATCTATTCCAGGTGGATCAAAACAAAAGGTGTGCAAAGTCTTGCAGTTTGTCTTCATTAGAAAGCAGCCACAGCCTGAGTAGAAAAGCCTGTCCCCTGCCAGCATGTTGAAGAGGAGAACCCTTGCTCTGTGTCAGAGAAGTGGTCTCTCTGGAGAGGTCCTACATGCCCCTGCTGAGCCAAGTGTGTAACTCTACAAATGTGCTTCCCCAGCAAGGATCATTCTCTACAGCATGCTGGCAGGGGACAGGCTTTGGCAGCTTTTTTTAAGACAAACCGATAGACTTTGCACACCTTTTGTTTTGATGCACCTCAAATGTATTAGCCGTTCCAACAGAAGGTTAACTTAAGCTTTAATCTGGAACTGGTTAGTGACCCTGCCCAGGACCCCAATGGGGGCAATCTTTCCCCAAGTACAGCGTGAGATTATGGGATTCGTTTTTCAGCCACTTGAAGGACAATTACACTCTTGTATACGCCAAAATATCTTGTTTGTTAAAAAAAAGTGCCGAGGCGCTGGCCCATTGTACTGAATCTGTTTTTGGCTTGAAAAACGAAACACAACCGCAAAAAAATCTAATGCAAGTGTTGTAATGTACGCTGTGCCATACGACTTAATAGGGCTGGCTTACTAAAGAAGTAAAGGCTGGTCACTTAGGGCCCATTCACACCAATTGCGGTGCGTTCCAGAGCAGTGGCTGCTGAAACACACAGCAAATCGCACACTCAACTCCCCCCTTCGTTCTGGGGCGTGGCGGTGCATTGCAGCCACGCCCCCCGCCCGCAGTGCGACCGGACGCGTGGCCCAGTTTAGACGCAAAAAAAATGCTGCATGCTCTATATTTTTTGCTTCAGAACTGGACCGGAACGCAGGCAATGTTTTGCCACGCATCCGATCGCACAGCAGGCAGGAGGCGTGGCTGCAGTGCCATTGACTTCAATGCACTGCCACACTCCCGCCTCAGAACAAAGGGCGGAGTTTAGTGTGCAGCTGCTACCCCTCTGGAACGCACTGCAATTGGTGTGAATGGGCTCCCTAGCAAAGTAAGTGTTAGCAAGTAAGGTGAACCTCTGCATACACATAATAGAAGTCACCAGCACTCGATGCTATGTGCAAGAAGTAAAGCACTTTTTATTCAATCGTCACATGCGTCATGCAGCCAACGTTTCAGGGCCTCGCAGGGTCCCTTCTTCTGGGTGACATAACGTTAGCTGTATGACGCATGTGACAATTTAATAAAAAGTGCTTTACTTCTTGCACACATCGAGTGCTGGCGACTTCTATTATGGACTGTATCGGACACGGCGCCATCCGTGTTGTCACTTCAAGCACCAATCTTTCAACAAGGTCTGTACGCTGTATGGAGTGCAGGTGATTTCGTATTATCCTCTGCATACACAATTGCGCAGCAAAAATCCTTCTTTCCCCCCTAGTATCTTGAAGGTTCACCTTACTTACCAACGCTCACTTTGCTAACTGAACAGCATTTCCTTCTTTTGTAAAAATAACCGCCATGTATCCAGGTGACTGTTCTGAATTATAAATTAATTAGGGTGCCTTTCATGCGTCATATGTCCTTTCTTATGTCGAAAAATAAAGTTTATACCCAAATAGTCACATAAAGGTCTATGAAGAAACACAACAGAAGAAGTTCCGCAATCAGAGAAAGAATAAGCATTTTTTTTGTATCCCGATTTAGCTTATCGATGTGTTTTATATTTTTTCCATATAACTTTTTATTGCTTTAAGATATAAAAGTGAGAATTTCGAGTTAAATGTTCAAAAACCGGCAGCATTTTACACATGAAGTGTGGTTCAGTGTACTGTTCACCTTTTGTTTTACATAAATTAAAAGAAAAAAATAAGTTAACTTATTTAAAAAATAAAAAAAAATGACATAAAAAGAAATAAAAAGTTGCCTTCTGTACAAGAGATCTTAACCTCTGGGAAGGATGTTTCCACCTGGGACTTCTCCGAGATATTTTAGGGTTACAAAAAAAGAAAGATTTAAATGAGTCTTGAGCTTTCCAGGAACTGGATGAGAAGTTGATAGACAAATTTGTATTGCGCGATGGTCTGAATCATGAACATTCTCTGTTCCCGGAGATAATTTAGCATCACTGGGATTTCAATTTTCTGTTGAGGGAAAAACATACAGAGAACTCAGAGACACACGGATCCATGAGAAACAAAGAAATAAGTAACTTGGTGTGCAGTCTGGGTCAGGATAAATGATGCAATACAAAACTTGCTGTGGGTGCAGCCAATCACAACAATGATCTGCAGCATCCGGGCACAGAGCAAAGTGAGAGTTTCCAAATTCATGCTGTAGAAGCGATTTCGAGTAGGACTCCAGCCAAAATGATTGTTAGTTTTGGACCGAAGGGAAATGGGTTAAATTGTTTGTAAAAAGGGAAAAAACTGTATTTTTAGTTTTGGACAGCAAAGGAAAGAGTTAGGTCTCATTTACACGGGCACTCCTAGGATTAACTTTTTCTAAATGCAGGGGAAGTGATCTGGGCGCTCAGCCACATACGTTTAGTCGCATTTAGAGCTTCTTGCCAGATCACGGACACAGAATTCTATTTTCTCTAATTGCAACTAAACCGAATAAAAAAGGTAAACACAGGGAAATGCAACTTTTGAATGATACCATTAGAAATTAACCTGTGGAGGAGGAGAGCGGGCATCAGGGACGTGCAGTCAGGTGAGGCAGAGCCTCACCTAGTATTATGGTGGAAAAAGCTGTCAGCTTCAAGTCTGAAGCTGACAGCTTTTTCTCCATTCAGATCGGCTTGTAACAGATTACACAGCATGGAAATCCTCCCCGATGCGTATCTGTCATGGACGGAGTACTGCCTGTTAATTACAGGCGGCGCTGCATCCAGCTTTTGACAGCTAAGTTAGGTTACACAGCAGCAGGCTTCCCCATTGCTTGTGTAACCTAACTAATGAGGCAAGAGCTGTCACAGCCTCTACTCTGTGTTAGAGGCGTGAGCTCTGTGGATCGCTGGGACCAATGGCAAAACGATATTGGTCAATAAAGAAAAAAAACCCACTGAGGCCACCGATCTCGATGCCTCAGCAGTGACGAGCAAGTGAGGGACAGGGAGGCTCCTCCCTTCCTCCTTCACACTAGGTTGGGGGCGGGGCTTCGGCGGGCAGGGCTTCATCGGGCAGGATGTGCTGGGGACGAGGCTGGGGATGCCTCATCCGGACCTAAAGGTACCGCACGTCACTGGGGGGCATCCTCACTATCTGTTCTGGTGGCCACCATCGAGACAAAGTGAGGGAAAATCCAAAATTTTAGGATTGTCATCAGAATAAGAGATGAGGGGACATTTTCCAATGGGACACTTGTTCTGGTGACAACTGTGCAAGAGCACACCTTCACTTTAAGAATATTTCACACGCATAGACAGAAAAAATTACTTTACAGGAGTTTTAATGTTTCTGACGCTATTCAAAAATTCAAATAACAAATGTGGCTATAGATATATATTAAAGCCGGACTGAGATATGAGAGATTCCCACCTCAGTGCAGCTCTGTATTCATTAATAAACATTTTGTTAAATGAAACTGGTCTTAGTACAGCAGGAGGCTGGGGGTGTGTTCCGGACCAAACTGCCTGCAGAAGTCCAGCACAAAATTATGGTGCCTGACAAGAGTGTTTGAATCACATGACTGGCTGAGCCAAATAAAAATATATTTGGCAGAAAAGACAAATACATAATTAAACTGTGTATTTAGCTACGTGCCTGGAATTCAGCTTTATGGGCCCAGGAACCCATTGTAATGAACCCAAAAAGTCAGGGTTAATTGTGGAGTGTCCTGGCAGAACTTGAGGTATGAAAAGGTCTTACTGCTGTGGTCATTCACTCAAGTGTTTTAAGCATCCTTGACATGAATACCTCCATTGTACATGGCACAGTGCGGTTCTAACAAGATGAAGGGCCTACTTACCTCATTGTTCTCCAAACACCGCATCATCAGCTCGGTCAGGATGACCACTCCAGTTCTTCCCACACCGGCGCTACAATGAACCAGTACCGGAGGATTGCAGTGGCTGCTACTGTCCAGCATGCTGTTAGCGTGACGACGGACAGACTGGATCTCTTCCAAATACGCTGCAGAATGTAAGAATAAATTATTAAACCAGGAAAATCATTATGTCAAATGCCAATGTTATTGATTTTTAAATCTTACATAAAAATCCTTGGACCTCTTCAGGACAGCCGTGATCAGGCCAGTCGGTAAACTGCAAATGCCACACTGTCCTCTCTTGCCCAGACAGAAGGTGTTTGATCTTCAAGCCAGTCGTTGCATAGCAGCCGGAATCCGTGCGAAAGTTGGTGGTCACTTTGAACTTTCCGTATGTAGCGGAATTATGTCTGGATCCCAGCTTGGGCCAGTAACGGTGACTCTTGGCTCTTCCTTCCTCCTGCAGGAGTATATGAAAATTGGTAACCAAACAAAAATAATCAATTGGGAAGAAAAAGTGGATTGAAAGTCAAAACTTTTTTTTCATTCTCTCACCATAACCTGTACGGTTATACTATCGCTAGATCCTAAGCCCTACTCCATGGAAGCTACGCTTTCCCTACATTGCACCGATTGCCAAAAAGCCAGAAACAACTGTATGCAGTTTGGAATAAATGGCTCAGAAACAGGGGTGGACAAATGAATATGGAATTCTGGGAAAAGTGTGTCCAATCCAGGAGCCAGCAAGTTTTGTATTTAGGAGTCAGGCTCATTGACAACAACCAGAGAAAAAGTTAGGCATCAGCTGTCATTTTGAAGGAGCATTGGCTAGCTGGCTCCTGAGATTTGTCCAGCCCTGCTCTATAGTATTAGCAGAGCATTAAAGCACTGAAGCCTCACATGTTAGTGTCCAAACCTATTAAGTTAGGATCTGCAGGACGGTGATCAGTAGATCTAAGTACAGGGGGTAGAGAGAGACATCAGTGCAGACATCAATTCTGCTCCCCTAATGTAGAATACTCTGCTGTCAGTGTCCAGAGCTCCTGGGCAGGACCTAAATGACGCAGGTCCTAAAGTCTCACACCTCTGCCAGTTTCCTCAGCTTCTAGGCAGGAGCTGTAGGATGCTCAGTGGATGGAGGTCCATAGGGGCAGAGCAAGGTCGAGAGCCACACAGTAAACTCAGCATTAGAAGTTAGAATCTTCCATCACCATGTCAGAGCTGCCGGAACTAGAACTAAAAGGTGGGCGGCGGGAAGACCGGTCACCTAACACAGATAGCAGGCTGAGGTTACTGGTCAGCAAAACAGCTTTGAAGATAGTTAACAAGAGAACAAGGCTTTCTCTTTTAGGGAAGTGTGCTTCCACGTTACTGAATGTTATCCTTTGTTCCCGGAGTTCAGTTTTAAAAATACACCCGAGCAGCATTCCCCCCACACTTCATGCGGGCTGTATTGGGCATCTTACTGGAAAGACCAATAAAGATTTGCCAATATTCTCATGTATAGTGAAATGACTACAGATTCTCTTTATCGATTATGTAAAAATAATTATTATTAGTCTTTAGTTTTGGATAGAGTAGGGAAGGGTTAGACCCCTTGTCAAATTTCTATTGCAGTCAGTGTCCCCATTAAGGACATCCACCATCCCCCCCCACCCCCCACCCCATTTGTCCTGGCGACCATCGTCACTGAAACAGAAAGGGGAAACCCAAATGTTTTGGCGTTGTCACCAGTGCAAGAGGGGAGAAAAAAAACCTCCATTGGGGACACCTGTTCCTGTAAGGTAGGAATTCTCATTTCCAAGAGATTTCCACTCATTTTGCAATGTGTCTCTAGGACAGGAAATGAAGGGAAATCCGAATCCCCCCACAGTGAGACACATGTAGCAAAGTCTAATCCGATTCTCAATCTAAAACTTTTATTAATATCACTTGAATTGTGAAAGAAGCATGTTTGCTAGTATACACAAAAGTACAATCTATATGAAGATGGATCCAGAGTTTCTGGTGGCCAATAGTCTTTGTTGCAGACCTCATTCCAAGCTACATGGGAAAAAGCTCCTAGTTTTACTTGGCACTCCATGAAACAAGCCGTATTCCCGGTGGTGATAAGGGTTGTGGAATGTGATGCTGGCCACCGCCAGCCGGCACCATGACACAAGTGACACAATGGCAGAAGGAAACACAGCTTGGGGTTGGCGCAGAGATGGGATTGTTGTGTTTGGACATAACCCTGTAATGTCAAGGAGAATTCCACAGAAAGCTTACAAGATTAGAACCTTTGAAGCTGGAAGGAAAAACATCTACCCGTATCATAATAAAGCCCAACTCCAGACTAATCTTCTTTTAAAGGGATAGTTCAACTTTCTACAAAAAATGAAAAGGTGAGCTAACTCACAACACCCTCCCTGCCGCCCCTTCCCCAGTCCCTGCTGCACTAAGCAGATATACTCCCAGGGCCTACGTCAGTCAATGTAACAAGCCGAACACTGTAGAACTTCACTACACAACCCTGGAGGCTGGCAATTGGTACTGGTCAGCACTTCAATGTATATTGCACTTAAAAGGAGAACTATGGGGTCAGTGTTTTTCTCCATAGTTCTCCTTAGGGTAACGGGAGGACACAAACTAGCGTCCTCCCGTTACCCAAGGCTCAGTATACCGCGAGCTACAGCTCGCGGTATACTGAGACGCTGCAGCCGGAGCGGATCCCGACTTAGACGACGGGATCCGCCCAGCTGCGTGAGTGACAGCTGGCTCTGCCTATCTAGAGGCAGAGCCAGCTGTACCCGCCCCCTCCCCCGTCCGTTCCGCCAGTCAGCGCTGGCAGATCGCTCACCTCCCGATCTACTGAGCCGACCTGTGACAGTCTCATTGTCACAGGTCGGCTAGAACTATGAGGTGAGTGAAAAGCACTCACCTCAGTTCTCCTTTAACATGAACTATAAATGCACTTTAAATAACAAAAATTGGCTCTGTTGTCCAAATGCAGCGGTGCTTGGGGTATGTGTGTTAGAGGACATGTCTACTATTCCTTCTCCAGTCCCAGGCTAGCATTTGCTTAGCCCAGTGGTGTCAGTGTAACCAGTAGGCTGAAAATGCCTGTACCACAATAGGTCCTTGCTGCAGGAAGAGCATGACAATGCTGCTGGAATGTCAGCAACGATCTTAAAAAGTGTTGTCAGCCTTCTCCTGGAAATTATATAACGCGACTGCATTGTTAAAGCAAAAGGCATTTCACACAGAAAAAACAGTCAATTTTGCATGGACATACATTTTAAGATATGACATATAACGGACTAACCTCTTCAGCTGTCACCATGGCAATGACATTGACTCCCTGCTCCCACACCATCTGCCAGAAATCATGGAATGTTTGAGGTAGAGGGCCCTGGGTGGCGATGTAGTGCCATTCTTTATCACCTACTACCACCTGTGTAACAAAAGATCTGGACATGAGAAGTCTGCACAAGGTTTGTCATACCTTGTAAGTGTAAGTTCAACAGATGCAAAACATATCAGTCCAACTACAGCCAAAACCTCATCTCATTTTGGATAGGGTTGGCAGAAGATCGAGCTTCTGTTGGTTATTTTATTGTCCTTTGCTTCCCTGTAGGAGACGTATCATAACTTCCTGCCTTACTTTTAAAGCTGGAGTTCAGCTTTAATACTGCTGCTGTAACAGTTTGAGGTCTACACCATTTGACCATTACCTTCTGTACAGGAGAAAACCAGCTGAGAAAGGGAGGGTTCAAATAATAATCAGTCAGGCTCAACTGCACTTCATAACGTTGCACATCCAACATGCTGGGTGCCACAAGGGGTGGCCTTCAGCCAGCTTACAGATGAAAGATATTGTAGCCAGGAAGGAGGCACAGGAAGCTGCAAAACTGAATACTGGTGGTATGCCTTTGCTGTATAGCATGGCAGGGGTGTGTTATCACAAGACTGGATGTAAAGGATGATATTTTGGTAGGTACAACTGATCACATTATATATTCTGCTTGGCTGGAGATGCATTTTAATGGCTTTAACCCCTTTCCAACTGCAATGTGTAACCCTCCTCAGTACAATGGCCCATGCTTAGGATACATTAACATCCTCCCATTGACAGCTACCAGCCAACAATGTGTGCAGCTGGTGGCTCTCAATTATTGCCGTCACAGACAGCTTTGCTACCTACTAATGATCATGAATCAAATCGGAGATGTCGTCACTAGGTCAACTGTGAAAGCTGAAACCTTCAGAAAGTAATAGTTTAACCTTCCAGATACTACTGCAGCCTAACCATTCTATTGCACACTGTAATTGTCTGATACATACATACATTTGTATGTATGTATGTATGTATGTAAACCATACATGTTATATATAAAAACACACACACATTTTATTTTACATTTTGGCCACTTTTCAGTCGGTAAGTAGAGTTTTAAAGGCATAAAGGCAATGTTCCTTAATGTTCCTGGCATGGCCATCTAGACTTCAATAACCGCTGGGCATTAAAGGGTTGAAAACTTGTGCTCAGAGTCACTGTACGTCTGTGAAAAGTGTGTAGCTCAGCATGGGGAATTGAGTGATGTGTGTGTCTGTGTGTAACTTAAATCACAGTCAGATCAGAATTATGTTGGCTTTCACTTTGTAAGGTTCCATTCCATGTAGATACTTGAGAAGGGATTCCAATAGATCATTAGAAACAGAAAATTTATCTTCCACACTAGCGGTTTCCATTGGGAATAGGGCTGCTTGTGAATGTATGCAGCACCGAGTCAGCCTATACACACAGGTCTGCTTCAGATATACCTTCTCTTACCTTTATATGTGATGCATTGATGTAGCCAGTGTGGTTTTCTTTGGTGGGAACAAGCTCTACTCTGTTTTCTTCGTAAGGAAGGACTTCGCGGACTCTGTTGCGTTCTACGTTTTCGGGCAATGTTGCCGTGGTGAAATCGCCATCTGCCTTTCTCTTTGGAATCTGTTCATACTCTGTAAACACCATCCCTTCCTCCAGCTTCCTCCTCAAGGCCTTACACTGCAAAGAAAACACCACCATGACAAATCAACACATCATGACTCAGCTGGTAAGAATGGCACAAATTCTCCGGGGAAGAGATAAAGTAGCTATAATGAGCCCTTGGATGAATAATGCAATGACTAGGAGTCAGGGACATTGCAGCTCAGGATATATTCTGTGGGGTGACTCATTCAGTGTATTAAACACAATAAATCTGAGACCGCGCTGAGAGGTACTTTATGGGGCTGGAAGATAAAAGTGCATCTAAAACCAAGAACAAAAATGTCATCTTTTGTAACGTACGGTTCCTTATATATGGTGGCCTTGTTTCCATCTGGTGATCCTGCCAGAAACACGTAGCCTGTCCTAGGGTGACATTGCTCACTTGCCGCACTTTACCTATGGAGGAACAGCATCGTCACCCTAGGACAGCAAATGTGTTAAGAATACAGAGCACATCTCGCGTGATTTCTGGCAGCATCACCAGGTCATTTGTGCACAGATATAATAAAATCCTTTTAATTATATATTTGATACTCTGCCTTTGCCCATGCAGTGTCAATGCAAAGGCCCCACTCCGTCATACTCCCCTTATCTGTGCTGCCTCACCGATGCTTGCTTCTCTGCAGCAGGCTCTGAAATGATGTCACTTCCCACATCATGTGTTTGAGCCGAGGTCTTGGCTGCTAGACCCAGAGCACTGGCACAGGGGAGGGAGTTGCATATCCAGAAGTGTTGGGTATCATCGCTGCAGATGAAGAGCAGCAGAGGAGCACTCGTAAGGTCATTATTGGGGACGGGGGAGCTTCGCAAACACATTGTCACAAGCACAAGGTGACAAGGTCTCTTAGAGCAAATACAAAAATTATTGCAAAGATTTACAAACTTTAAAAGGAAATCATTACTTTAAGTAGGCTCGTACTGGGGTGCTCTTAAAGGGAAATTCATCTTTGCTGCAGTTGCACATGAGCCATTAAGCCTCTTCAAGTCACACGAAACAAAAGCAATTCGTCAGAGGGTTTCACAGGCCAAATCCTGACTCCTCGCCCCACCGCCAGCTAATCGCCCTGGAGGCCCCCTTCATTTATTTTATGCATTGTTTTTACTTATTCTCCGTTTTTCCAGATGTCTCCAGGCCAGTCATATGATGGAAAGGGCCCCAGTCACCGGTGCTGGGCAGTCCTTAATGATCCAGAGAGTAACCCTAGCATGATATCAGAGTGCAGGATGTCTTTAGTGATGTCATCATTGAACCATGAAGACTGAAGACATCTAGCGGTGAAAAGAAATTACTGCGTGGGACAGCACTGGAGAGACGTTGATTATTGCATACAGAGCTGTTTGTTTTTTTTCTAAACCTTTTACAAAAAAATATAAATAATAATAATAAAAAAAAAAAAAAAAGTTAGGCCTTAACCAGTTCCTTTGATTTAGATATGCTTTAAAGTGACACTAAACTCAAGAGTTAAATCTTAAAAATTGTATTCAACTACCTCTGAAAAAAATCAGGAAGAAGCAGGTAAGAATACCGAGGAAAATTCTTAGCTCCTTACTCCTGACGCTAGGCAAAAAACTGTAGGACTTCTCAGTAGGTGGGGGGTTTGGCCACCGGCAGGGGCCGCCCCTAGGCTGTAATTGGTCTTTAGTTTTTTTGTGCCTAGCATCCTTCTCCTGCAGGTGGCGATATTACCCTACAGTACACGATCTCCGATCTGTTCCCTGTGTCCTTCAATGAACGGGAGAGAAATGTATCTTACGTGTGTATCATTGAGCTGTAGATCCTCAAATCCTCTCTGAATTGCTGCTGACACTGTCCTTCCTTCTGGAGGGGGGCTACTTTTGTTCCCCATGGTCCCGGTGTGTGTTGTAAAGTAGCCACCACTCCAAGCTCAATGCTGTGATGGACCACAATCTCATGTTTAGTTTCTGGACTCTTACTTTGTGGTCTGGCACCCATTTGTATATGATTATATGTTCCATATGTGCATTGTAAAGTAGCCATCACTCCAAGCTCTCCCATGATGGACTATTATGTCAATACAAATTAGTAAACTAAAGCGTGAGATTGTAGTCCATCACAGAAGCGAGCTTGGAGCGGTGACTACATTACAACACACACATGGTGAACACAAGTAGCCCCACTCCAGAAGGAAGGACAGCGTTGGCACCAATTCAAAGATGATTGGAGGATCTACAGCCGAGTAATACACAAATAAGATTGATTTTTGTTAATAGTTAAGGTACCTAAATACATTTGAAAGATTTAACTCCTGAGTTTGTCGCTATCTGAACAGGGAGGGGAAATGCATTTGCCTTTTTTTCTTTTTAATTTTCCACTCGTATGACTTAGTAGAGGAGTGTGACACAGCTGCCCAGAAATAACCACACAAACCAGGTGAATGTTCCTAGTCAGAGGTTAAATTCACACACATTTTTCTTTGTATTCAGAGCAGACAGACAAAGCTGAAGAGAAAACACAGTCTTACCCTCTCATCGACTGGCACGATCACAGTGTCATTCTGCCTGTCCTCGGGCAAAGGAATTCTGGAAACAGACAGTCCATTCAGCGCTGCCAACATCAAGGGTCTCTTCTGAGTTTCCAAGGCTGCCATCTCCTGCTTTTGTAAATTCTTTTGGCAAGAAAAGACATGTTTTCATCTTTTGTCAGCCGTGCCAGCAAATATTGGAATGTTTCTAATTCTAAAATCAACAACCGCCAAGCCAAGTGGCGATGGCGCTTACGATTCAAAGCAGAATGCTTAGAAAATATATAAAACTTATTTACAACTTCCTTTTAAAATATCTTCACACACAAAAGAGCTGAGAAAGGGCCAAGACGCCTACAGTGCAACTCGATTTCAATCAAAGAACGATTAAATACATTACTATAACAGAGATATGGATCTGAGTTGGGGGGGGGTGGGGGGAGGCAGATTGTCAATAGGTACCTTTTCTGGAATTGTGGCCAATCATTTTCTGGGTGTTTTTATTGCCTGGATTGGACTTTCCTGGCAGTTTGATATTTACCCAGGTGCATAATGGGTGGGAGATTGTTCATCTTTAGAGACTTCGCAGATACCATTCAGGTGACACAAGTTTTGTACCTCACATATAAGTGTATGTACAGTTAAAGCACTTTTATTAATTTTGAATAGAGTAGGACAGAATAGACTGGAAAAAATTGTTAAAGAGACCTGGTCACCAGACCATAAATTTCAACAGCAATCTTCCCATAACATTATATGTTCAATAAACTTATTTTAGGCATGTTCTTTACTTGTAAATCCTCCTTTGTGTAGACATCCAAAAGCCCTGAGAACGCTGCTAGGTGCCACCATCTTAACGTAGATTTGATGTCAGCAGCCCCAGCAGACTCGGTGCTATCACTCAAGTGACACTATAGAATTCCCCATTACTCTTCACTAAGCAACTATAGTAAACACATTACATATTGCTATCTCCAAGTGTATACAATTGCCTCAGGGTTCTGTGCTGGGTCCCATACTGTTCACCCTATTTATTAACGACATTGGGGAGGGTGTGAATAGCCATGTTTCAGTGTTTGCTGACGATACAAAAATAGGGAGGGTAATAGAAACGGACCTAGACAGTATAACATTACAGGAAGACCTGGATAAAATAGTAATGCACTTCTGAAATAAAAATAAGCAAATGGGTTATACAATTATGGGTATGCCTCTAGGGAAGTCAGAAATAGAAAAAAAGATTTGGGGGTCATTGTAGACCACAAACTGAATGGTAGCTTGCAGTGCCAGGCTGCTGTAAACAAAGCTAGCAGGGTCTTGTCCTGTATTAAAAAGGGGATGTATTGCAGGGACAAGTCTATAATTTTACCACTTTATAGATCGCTGGTTCGGCCTCATCTGGAGTACGCGGTCCAGTTCTGGTCACCAGGACTCAGAAAAGATGTCCTTGAGCTGGAAAGAGTCCAGCGGAGGGCAACCAAACTAATTAGGGGAATGGAGGACCAGAGCTATGAGACAAGGCTACTAAATGGGGCTACTAAAATCCATGTTCAATGGGGACAGAAACATTAGCAACAAACTCTTTACGATTAACTCCATTACAAAAACTAGAGGCCACCACCTAAAATTGGTGGAAAAAAAATTCCAGCACAAGGGGCGAAGGGGGTTCTTCACAGAGCGGTTAGGGTCTGGAACTCGCTGCCACCGGCAGTGATTTCAGCTAAGAGTGTGGAATCGTTCAAGGAGCTTTAGGACGATTTCCTGAGGGACCGTAATATACAGGGGTACAAGTACTCCTAAGAATGAGAGGATACACGGACCTTTTACATACGCACACATCAGCAATAAGTTGGACTTGATGGACTTATGTCTTTATTCAACCTCAAATACTATGTAACTATGTAAAGGTCACATAGGAGGTAAGGGGAGGGATGGAGGAGCTAGGTCAGCACAGAGAGTTTAGACACTCCCAGAAGAGGAGAGGGCTACGTGCAAAAAGGGACAGGGCTGTTTTAGAGAATTGACTCTTACTGGAGTAGTAACATTTTCTGGCAAGTTCAAAGGCACATTTCAAGTAAGCATTTAAAACACTTTGCTGGTGAAGGGGTCTCTTTAAGAGTGTTCAGATTTTTTTTAATTATTATTTTGTTGTCTAAATCCCGTTGGGTAGATGTCCATAGTTAGTTACATAGTTAGCCAGGTTGAAAAAAGACACAAGTCCATCAAGTTCAACCTATAGAGATAAGAGTAAAAAAAAAGAAAAAAAACCTAAAACAGAACGCTATGCCCACGGTTACCCACTGATGATCCAGAGGAAGGCAAAAAAACCCTATAAAGCATGGTTCAAGTTGCTCCAACAGGAGGGAAAAAATCCTTCCTGATCCCATAAGGCAATCGGATATTCACTGGATCCACAATAACTGGTGCTAAATGCCCCTATCAGAACTCATTATGCAGTAATATTCTGTACCATACGCTTCCTTTCTCAGAGACACGAGAAGTAAAAGAAAAAAACCCTCCAAGCGAGGGAATATCTACACTTTACTATTTGTTCCTGTGACAACTGTAAAGTTTTGGGTTTCTCATTACTTTCTGAACCAAGAACAATGATCACCAGGACACAGACAGGGGTTTTCATACTTCCTCACTTTAAACTTTACCTTTACTTTAAGGCTAGATGCACAATTGTGCATATGTGTCAACACACACACACATATATATATATATGGCCCGCAAAAGGGTTTTCAAAAGCCTGTTGCTATGTATAATATGCAACTTTACAGGTGAATAGGAGCAGCCGTACTTGCTTATTACACACCCAGGCACTGGTCCCTGGTTTGCCATGCCACACAATAGTTGCTCTTAACTGCTTATCCTCAGAATGAAATTCTATTAGTCAGCTGACTCATTGAAAATTGTGTACTCCCTGTGTAGTTGGTATGTTCTCTCAGCACTTGTTGAGAGAGAGAGAGAGAGAGAGATAAAGTTCTGTACTAAGCCACTGAGAACTTTCTTTAGTAGAAAGGAACTCTTGGCGTTCCAAAAGATCTCAATGCCTTAAAAGGAGAACTATGAGGCGAGTGAAAATTACTCAGCCTCATAGTTCTAGCCGACCTGTGACAATGAAACTTTCACACGTCGGCTCAATAGATCAGGAAGTGAGCGAACATATACCGTCGTTTGCTCACTTCTCGATCCTTTCCCTGCAGAGAGCCGTGACTGTCACTCACGGCTCCCTGCAGGGATTCCCCCCTCCCCTGTCCGATCCTCCAGCGCTGACTGGCGGAACGGACGGGAGAGGGGGCGGGTACAGCTGGCTCTGCCTCTAGATAGGCAGAGCCAGCTGTCACTCACGCAGCTGGGTGGATCCAGACAGTAATGTCGGGATCTGTCCCGGCTACAGCGTCTCAGGAAAACTGAGCTTTGGGTGACGGGAGGATGCTAGTTTATGTCCTCCAGTTACCCTTAGGAGAACTATAGGGAAAAGCCCTGACCCCATAGTTCTCCTTTAACTTTGAGATGGACCTATGGTGGACATCAATCATAAGGACATAGAGGAAATAATAAATATGCTTTAAGCCAGGAACCTATCATTTAATCCCAATTAGGTGGAATTTTTTTATTGAGTTATCATTATATTGTAACTTACCCGCATCATGATCTCTCTTTCAACTATGGCATCCTCTGCAGAAAACATCTCCGACACTGGCCGTTCCTTCACTGGCTCTTTCTTGACCCTCTCTTTGACACTGCTGAGATCAGGCTCTGAAATTGATGGCCCCAGAGAGGTCCCGTTGATTGGTCCTGGCTCATTTCTGGACATACACACAGTCTGTGATTGCCGCGAGCTCATTGCCTTGGCCCGTGCTATGGCAGCCGATATAGTAGAGGAATCGTTTCTCAGTGCTCCATTGCTGATGCTTTTTCTCGGACCTGGATATTCAGGAGGTGGCTTGTTTGGTATTCGAGCCAGGGCAGCCTGGAGCTGAGCACTATATGACATGAAGGAAGTGTGAGGCATTGATTTGTGCAGCTCATGTTCATCTTCACTGTCGCTGCTGTGGATCAACATGGTGGCATCAGAGATGTTCTTTTTGTGGTGGTACACTGGCATCTGCTGTACTTCATGAGCTTTCTGCATGGGCTCCTCTGTGTGCAACTGATCTCTTAATGTATTCCTACGTGGCAATGGTGCATTCAACGACTGTAAAGCCATGGCTTCCATTCCTCTCACCATGTTGCTCATGACTTCAAAACTGTGACGTTTGTTTATGACTGGATGATGTTTATGAGGTTTTAAGGGCTCACTGACCTCTTGAAGAGACTGGCGGACCACCGGAGAACTGTCTTCTTGGAAAGTTTTTACAGACTGCTGGACTTTTCTGGCCACCAGGTCTGGGCTACTGGCACTTACACGCTTGTGGCGGTGACTTGCCAGGTCAGGAGTACTGCTAGCTGGTCTAGGTGGCAGGTATAGAGGAGGAGGCCGAGATAAAATGTTTTTGAACACAGGGGCAGTAGTGAAGGTTTGAAGTGGAAGATTGGCCAGTTCAGGTGTGCTGACAGTATGGGAAATTGACTTGACATTAGCAGGATTTGAAGCAGTTTGGTGCACTGGCATTTGTTCAGGTGGGTGGATGGGCTTGTTGCCAAAATGAGCCTGAGGTCCATAGGAGGTCATGTAAGGAGGTCTTTCCTGCATATCAGGCTGGCTATAAACCAAATTCTCCCGGTGTCTATAAGCGTGGGTATTCCCAATATTAAGGTTTCGTAAGGACTGACTCTGGTTATCAGAAGGATGGGCATTACGGTTCAATTGCCTCATTACAGTGTCGTAGTCTGGCGTTTGCCGATAAGAAGGCAAGATAATGGCACTGTGTCTGCACTTAGGGATGTAGTCAGATCTCATGATGTCATTTCCAGTGATGCTAAGGTTAGAGGACATGGGGGAGGCTTGGATAAAGGTCTGTGAATGATTCAGTGAGTTCATACTATGAGCACTGGAAACACTACCGTTTGGCACAGTACCATTCATAAAATTGAGCTCCATGTATCTATCCAAGCTGTTCTGAGACCTGAAATTGAATGTGTCCTCATTCATGTGGAATATGCTGTCTGAAGGGGAAAAAAACATTTGAAAGGTCAGTACTGATAATAACATGAGGTAGGGTGAAAGTAAAACAAGTATGTCAATGTAAAGCAAATAGGAGAAAATCAAATCAGTGGAGGTTAATGCAGGAGAACGAGAGGTAGAAGGGAAAACAGTAACACTAGGGAAGGAAAGAAAGGCAGAAAGTACACAATATCGTCAAATGTCTGTGGTAAGCTGACTATCACATACACTCGCCTAAATCATGGGCATTAATAAGACGTTCGTCTCTCCGTTCAGCTACAGCAGCTTCCATGCTTCAGGGAAGATTTGGACTGTGTCTGGAGGGGTTTGTTCTCATTCAGGAAGGTCAGGTACTGATACTGGATGAGAAGACCTGGCTCGCAATTGGCACTCTTATTCATCCTAGAGCCTTGGTTCTCAACTGGTGGGTCGTGACCCAAAAGTGGGTTGCGACCCCGTGTTCAGTGGGACACGGCACACTTTCCACTTTTCTAGGCGAGAGGCTCCTCAGCCTCCCCTTAGCGCAGCATTCTAAGTTCTCACGCCGAGCAGCCATTCAAAACATGCTGCTTGGTGCTGAGTGTCAGTTTGAGGTGGGGTATGTGGGTTGGGGTTATGGCAGCAAGAAAGCTCCATCCATACCTGAATTGCTTACAGCTCCCTCGCATATCCTGCAGAGGTGTCTGGACCAGAGTGACGTCACATTCTGGCTCCCGGCACCTCTACAGGCACGCATGTACCAGCAATGCACATATGGATAGAGTTCCATCGCAGCACAGCAGCCCACACTGGATCACAGGCTAAGGATCCACTCCAGTTCTCATAAGATAGGGAGACTGGGTGGATCTAAAAAAAAGGAAAAAAAACAACATTAACATTTTTTGGGAATGAGAATGTGTCTGTGGTTGTATGTGTCTGTCAGTGTTTTTGAGGGCCTGTTCACACTTGTACAGTGCATTAATCGCACAGTCCTGTTCTGATGTGGTAGGTGTGTTGCATTGCCATTCATTTGAATGGCACCCCAAACGCACCTCCCACCCACAATTTTATCGGCTGTTCCCCAATGCCGTGCATCCCAGTGCAGTAACGACTTGGGTCATGACTTAATGACCAAGGACAAATGTGGGTCATGAGGTTACACAGGTTGAGAACCACTGTCCTAGAGGATGCTCAGTACGATTGAGGTCAGGGCTCTGTGCAGGCATGTTGCTCCACACCAGATTCATCAAACCATGTCTTTATGGATCTGGTTTTGTGCACAGGGGGCACAGTCATGCTATAATAGGCAAGGACCTTCCCTAAACGGTCTCCAAAAGACCAGTCCACAACTGCTGTGCCATAAACGTGACACTAAACTCAGGAGTTGAATCCTAAAAATGCATTCAAGTATGCCAACTAGGAACAAAATGTATCTTATTTGTGTATCACTCGGCTGTAGATCCTCAAATCATCGCTGAATTTGTGCTGACACTGTCCTTCCTTCCTGGAGGGTGGCTACTTACGTTTGCCATGGTCCCTGTGTGTGTTGTAAATTAGCCATCGCTCTAGGCTCGCTCCTGGGATGGACTACAATCTCAATACAAATTAGTAAACATAATGTGAGATTGTAGTCCATCACAGGAGCTAGCTTGTAGCGATGACTACTTTACAACACACAAGGACCATGGAGAACAAAAGTAGCCCCCTCCAGAAGGAAGGACAGCGTCAGCACCAATTCAGAGATGATTTGAGGATCTACAGCCGAGTATACACAAATAAGATACATTTTGTTATTAGTTAGGATACTTGAATGCCTTTTTAAGATTTAACTATTGAGTTTAGTGTAACTAACTGTACCGCTCACTGAAAATACCTGCATTTAAATAATTTGAGGGGTGTCTGCATACTTTTGGCCATATAACAAATGGTGGACAGATATCTATAAATCTTTGGCCATTCAGTGTCAAAACAAAGGAAACCAGTGGAAAGTAATGTTAATAAAAAAGTGAAGGGAATGGAAAAAAGAGGAGAAAGAAATAATAGGGGTGGGAAAGGAAATGAAAGCCGGAGAAAGCAAAGTAAGGCAAGGTTCATAATGGCAATGCAAATCAAGGAACATAAAGAATAAGAAGGGAAAGCAAAGATAAGCATAAATCGGTAAATGACGTTAATGCAAATAAAGTAGAGGCAAGGAATGTTTTGACTAAGAAGGGTTAGACAAGAGAAGCTAGAGGAAAGCTAAAAAAGAAAAGGCTATAAAAGAAACAGCAATGCTAATAGTAAGGGAAGGTAAGACACAAGAAGTCAAGGCAAGAAATCCGTGTAAAAGGAAGAAAAAGACGACAAAAGCCTGGAATGCAAAGCATGGTAAGTCACTAGAAAGTAACAGAAGTAAAATGAAAGCAATGAAGAGAATGAGAAGGTGGCAAGATAAAGGAACTAAATAAACATGAGAAGGAAATAAATGCCAAGATGTGTAAGTCACAGCAAGAGAATGTAAATAAACAAAAATTAAGAGAATGAAATGGGTGTGTTATACGGAGAAATGGGTGTGTTATACAGATAAATGGGTGTGTTATACAGAGAAATGGGTGTGTTATACAGAGAAATGGGTGTGTTATACGGAGAAATGGGTGTGTTATACGGAGAAATGGGTGTGTTATACGGAGAAATGGGTGTGTTATACGGAGAAATGGGTGTGTTATACGGAACTTGAAAAACAAAGCACTTCTACAGGACTCAATATTTGATAATTTCCATTTAAAGTGTGATTTTCTCCAATAAAAAGAAAACCTTTGTTTATATACATCTACAACGATCAACCACAACATTATGACCACCTGCCTAACATTGAGTTAGTCCTCCTTTTGCCACCACAACAGCCCTGACCTGTCAAGGCATGGACTCCACTAGACCTCTTAAGGTATGCTGCGGTATCTGCCACCAAGCCCTCACTAACAGATCTTTTAAGTCTTGTAAACTGCGAGGTGGAGCCTCCATGGATCAGACTTGTTTTTTTAATACATCCCACAGATGCTCGATTGGATTGAGATCTGGAGAATTTGGAGGTCAAGTCAACACTGCCTTCCACATGCTTGCATTCTTCCTATAGTTCATGCTGGTTGCCATCTCTTCCCCAGGTAAGTGAAACACATGCACCTGGCCATCCACATGATATAACAGAAAAGTGATCCATCTTCTTCCATTGCTCCATGGTCCAGTTCTGATACTCATGTGCCCATTGTAGCTGCTTTTGGCAGTGGACATGGGTCAGAATGGGCACCCCGACTAGTCTGTGGCTATGCGGCCCCATATGCAACAAACTGCAAGGGGTATGTCCAGACACCTTTCTATCAGAACCAGCATTAGCTTTTTCAGCAATTTGAGGTACAGTAGCTCTTCTATTGAGTCAGACTACACAGACCAGTCATTGCTCCCCACATACATCAATGAGCCTTGACCCTGTTGTCAGTTCAGCAGTTTTCCTTTTTTGGCTCACTTTTGGTAGGTCCTGACCACTGCAGACCGTGAACATCCCACAAGAGCTGCAGTTTTGGAGTTGCTCTGACCCAGTCATCTAGTCATCACAATTTGGCCCTTGTCAGACTCTCAAACCCTTTTGCTTGCCCATTTTTTTTTCTTCATCCAACACATCAACTTCAGGGAGAAAAAGTTCACTTGCTGCCTAATATATCCCACCCACTTCCAGGTACCATTGTAACGAGATAATCAATGTTTTCCACTTCAACTCTAAGTGGTCATAATGTTATGGCGAATACAAAGATATAGAGTTATTTTAAAAACATATAAGGCTTTGATTTGGTACACTGGTCTATTCTGTTTTTAGTCGACCTCCCCCTAGGACATCTTTTTATCTGTAGCTAAAGCATTTTTCTTCTTCGTTATATGGTTCATGTAAATTGGGATATTATTTTAAGTACAGTTGTTCTGCTATACTGTATTTACACATTGTTATGATTATTGATACAATATTTAATTCCTTTTGTAGAATCCGTTACCTTCCCCACATCTTCCGAGGAAGTAGAATCTTACGAAACGCGTTGCGAAAGTGCCCAGATTCCACCTTGTGATGCAATTGGGGGATAGGATACTTGTGGTATCTCTGCTTTGTTAACTTGTATATTTGCTAATAAAAGCCAACAGTGGTAATCATAGAGTACTCCTAACAGAAGTATTCCTTCTATGCTGCAGTAAATATTTTTTTATGCAACAACGTTTTAATTGGTATTACTAAAAGATCGGTTTTATTAACTTTTTTGTTCAAAAAGCTTTTTTTATTAAGATAGTACAAGTGCAAACAGTAGACATCAGGAAGTGTGGAACATCAATATACACAATACAATATAAACAGAGTGATAACAGAGGGCAATTCATGTTAGGACTTCATGCAAACAGAGGTAAGAAAAAAATGTCACATCAGACAAAATACAAATAAACAAGAAGGCCCAGAAAACAAACCCAAAGTTTGTCCCTCAAGACCCCGAACCCTAGAAAAAGGTGCTGTTTTATTAACTATAATATGAACTTTGTCTTATTTCAACTCCACCATGAAAGTTCTGTAGTGACCGGTTTTGTGCAATGTTTGGATGTTGGTGCTTAGACAATGATAAGTAGACCTGCTTACATTTTCATACTATGCATGTAATATGTTTTAACTGCACCGCACCTACCTTCAGAAATGAAGGTTTCACTCCCCTGAATGTGTCTTGGAGGTAATATAGTTGCTTGTTGTCTTGACTAGATTATATTTAAACAAAAATGATCAAGAAACAGGAAAATAATAAATGGCAAGAGAGAAGGAGAGATAACAAAAAGAGAAAAAGGAAACAAACAACATAAAATACATAAGTGTAATAAACAACTCACCACGGAAGACCGGCTCCATGTCGGCTGACGTCTAATAGTAGGTGGCGTGCTGGGCTGTCTGTTAAACCAAATCACACTATTAATGAATTCATTACACACATCAATTACCACATCTATGTCAGCCCAGGCCTCAGTGCAGCCAATAAGACACTAGAGCCCTGCTGCCTAACATACAGGTGCTTACTCTGCAGCCCTTGGTGCCCATAAGTGGGGGCATTGATTTGTAAAAGGGGCTGCGATGGCAGTGATCTCTAGCAGTTTCAGGTAATGTCCCAATTTTTTTAACTGTCTCCTGCAATATAATAAATACCTAAACTCTATCTTCATTTTAGCTTCCTATATCCCTCTGTGCAGCAAGATTATGAGAGGTCAAGGGAAGCGCAGCACTGTGAGCCAATTAGGGCTATACCACTTTGTACTGTGAGCCAGTTGGGATTTTATTACATTATACCATATTAAAACACTGAACATGCTTACTGGAGGGGAGAGTATAGGGACGACCTATTAATGTGCTGCTCCTAGTTCAAAGTCCAATCATAAGGCTGTGGGCAGGTCGTTAGATTAAATGCACAGCTTATCAACAGACAGTGAAAGTCAGAGAGCTGGCAGGGCTATCTGGTAGGGGTGCCTGAATCACAAAACTAGCTAAACAGACATATCTTGTATTGTGTGTTTTTATTTTGCTGACAATTTCTTTTTTTCCACTTCCTGGTCCACTTTGGCACAAATTATGTAATCGTGCCCAAGCATTGCATCCTGGGAAGATTACATCAGCAGAGCATTGCTGGCAAACCTCATCTGTAATCTCATGAGATCTCAGGGAAACGCATTTTCCTCCCCTGAGATGATGTGCATGGTCACATGTCCTAGTCACATGTGCCAGAGTTCCAGGAAGTAAAGGGAGACCTAGTAACCTGCCCTTAGTTAAAATGGCCCCTGGGAGAAGATGGGGAAGAAAAGAGAAATAAGGTATGGAAATAAAAATCCAGATTGTAGATTGTCATTACTAAACATTCCTAAAGGTGCCTTTTCTGTTATTTTGATGATATGGGTAAAGTTCCTCTTTAAGCCTTGAGGATTTTTAACCCTTTGTTAGGACAGACAGTGTTCAATATCAATTGCAAATTAGATTTGGAGATCTAGGAGCACAATACAAACAGGTTGAATTACCGTATTTTTCGCTCCATAAGAGGCACTTTTTTCCCCCCAAAAGGCAGGGGGAGTGTGTCTTATGGAGCGAATCCCTATTGCCCGACGCCCGGAACATGCAGTTTTGGGCGCCGGGCGAGTAGTTTTTTGTACGTTTACCCCTGCTAAAGCAGAGCTAATTGTAAGGTGGGAGCCGCTGCTCGTTTAATACAAGTGATCTATTCAGATCACTTGTATTAAAACCGAGCGGCGGCGATTAATCACAGCGCCACCTGTCTCAGCAGTCACTAACTGCAGCTTCTGTCACAGAAACTGTCACAGAACCTGCCTGCACCCTATGGTCCGGTGAGCCTTATGGAGTCGCAGTCCCTTCTTTTACATTGCATAGAAGAGGAAGCTAAAGTTTTGTTTTTTTCAGCAAGTAAAACGGTAAGCAGCGATTTATAAATATATTTAAAGTTATGCAACGAGAGTGGTAATATAAAATCTTTATCTCAATGTGGCTGCAAAAGTGGAATTCCATTTTCAAATTTACACAGAAAACAGTCACTTACTCTGTACAAATTTTGTTCTCCTTGTAGAATTTCATCCGCGCAGCAAACAGCCGTGATATGTATTTGCTGTTTTCAATGTCGTCCTGTTGAAAAACATGGAGAGGAAATGTCAGTGTCTGCAGAGTGAGTTTATTTGGGAAACAAATGGAGACAATGTGCAGTCATATCAAATTACTTTGGGCTTAAGAAAATAAACAAAGGCAGAAAAAAAGCCATCAACAAGACAACAATACTCCTCACCACCCGTCCCCTGACTCCCATGGACAAAACTGTCCTCACTAGTAGAATCGCAGTCTGCTTTATGAACACCATATAGCCTAAGGCAGGGGTCAGCAACCTTAAACACTCAAAGAGCCATTTGGACCCGTTTCCCACAGAAAAGAAAACACCGGGAGCCACAAAACCCTTTCGACATCTAAAATGAAGACAACACGGCATATATCGTTTTTTACCATTATGCTATGTATTGTATAGCATGTATATAGGTATATGTGGGCTTAGTAACGCACTGGACTCTGGGCTTAGTAACGCACTGGACTCTGGGCTATGTAACGCACTGGACTCTGGGCTATGTAACGCACTGGACTCTGGGCTTACCTGAGACACCGTAGAGCCCACCTGAGAGTGACCCTGCAGAGCACACCATAGATCCTGCACAGCTCATCTGAGACTCTCTATGGTGGGCTCTGCAGGGCCTCAGGTGGGCTGGTCGCTGGGGTCCCTTTACCTCCTCCCAACTCCTCTTACCTGCTGCTGCTGGGGCTCGGCCTCTGCCACCCCCTCCCGTCACCTCTGCCATGCCGACCCTGGTATAGCTGATACTCATGCAAGAGGCTCCCCAGGCTGTCCAGACCCCTCCCATGGGTAGCGGCTGTACCCCCCTGATGGCGGTGTTGTATCAAAGTTTGTGACTACGTTAGAATGTGACCTGTGACGTGGTCACACATTTCAATGTAATCCCGCCCAGTTTTTTGGCGGTGGAATGTGTGACCGGCAATAGGTCAAGCATTCCAACGCTTTCTCAGCTGTTTCAGGGCAGATCGGCATCACAAATCTGATGTGCAGGAGAACTGATCTGCCAGGTGTCACCCGCAGCAGGTACCGCGTGACACCCTGCCGTGACGTCATCGCGCATGCGCTGTCATCTTGGTGATGGAAGCCAGCAGAGAGAAGAGGGGACATTCACCCGGCGGTATAAGGTATATTGCCGGGTCACCTCCTCTCTCCTGCAACCATCGGGCTCTCAGTCCATGACCAAGTGCACGACTTTTCAGAGGGGGTGACACCAAAATGACTGTCAGTAATTTTGGTGTCATCCCTCCAATGGTGCCACTTGCGACGCCACTGATGCCAACTGTGAGCCAGATCTTCTTGTCCAACATTAGTACCTGACCTCACAAATGCTCTTTTGGCTGAATGGGCACCATTTCCCACAAACACGCCCCAAAATATTGTGAAAAGCCTTCCCAGAAGAGTGAATTGAAGAGGTGGGGTGGGGGGCGGAGAGACGACAACTCCATACTAACGCCCATGGTTGTGGAATGGGATATCAAACAATCTTACATAGGCGTGATAGTCAGGTGTCCATCCAATGCACATGACACATCTGTTATCTACTAATTATCTACATTAAACTGGCCACATAACATTATTCTATATACATTAAGGCAGGGGTCCTCAAACTACGGCCCGCGGGCCACATCCGGCCCGCCAGGATCCTTGGCCCGGCCCGTTCGGGTGTTAAGGCCGGGGAGCTGCAGACCCCTACCTTAACTACCTCCCAGCCGTCCGTTGTAAAAAAACGGCCGGCCGGGAGCTCTCCAGATAAGCCATGCCCACTTGCGGCACGCGCGAGCGGGAAATCCAGTCAATTTAAAAACAGGCAGCGATGCCTATTAACATACAAGCGATCCGCCGGCTATAGAGCCAGCGGATCGCTTGTATGGGCGGTCGGTACAAGACCTCCCTCCGGTCCCCCTCTCTGGTGTAAAAATGCGGAAGTGATGTATTTTACATTACTTCCGCATTCTTGTGTCACTCTCCAGCTTCATCAGCTTCTTTGGGGGTCCTAGGTGACATTAGGGGTCTTGGAGACCCCTGATGTCTCTATAAAGAGGACCTCTCACATCTTTTGCTATCACATAGGGGGGTTTCTTAGCCCCCTATGTAATAGCAATAATGTTAAGTGGGAAAAAAAAAATAGGAAACAAAATTAAAGATTAATTTTTTTTTTAAAGTTACACATAAAAAAAGAATTTAGTCCCCACCCATACATACACGCATGCAAACATGCGTCGGGTGCGCATACCTGCGAAAACGACAATTGCGTCCATTACGCCGCACATGTTACATATCGCCGCGAACGTCGCAGTGTGAGCAATAATTCTAGGGCCATCAATCACTGATAACACTAAACTGATGCGTTATAAAAGCTTTTAAAGCGTCGCCTATAGTCAATTTTGGGTATGGTGTTTTTTTGCGAGTGCGCGCAATTTTTAAGCTTGACATGTTTAGTGTCTATTTACCCGACGGTACCCCGTCTTTTATGTTTTACCAAAAAATTGGGTGTAAATAAATGTTTCCTAACACAATGTAAAAAAAAAAACTTTAAAAAAAAAAAAAATTCTGTCATTTTCCCGAAATATAGTAAAAAAATAAAACCCCCAGTGGTGATTAAACACCACCAAAAGAAAGCTCTATCTGTCCCCAAAAAATTGTATAAAATTAATTTCAGTACAGCGTTGCAGGACGGAATAAATGACAAAGTACCGCAGCGCTGAATACTGAAAAATGGCCTGGATGGGAAGGGGGTCTAAACACCTGGTCTTCTAGCAGTTAAAATAGGCCCAGCCGCCCTAAACAACACATAGCAATCAAATCAGCCGCCCGCCGGCGGGGTCCAGGGAGACATCGTCATTCCGCCGTCCCCGCCTGGGTGTCAGGGAAGACACACAGGCTGTTCCGGAAGCTTGGCAGCTTCTGTGTTCGGCCTGCGCGGCTGCGCCCTTTCATCTCGGGGGCCCATGCCGAGGCAAACCAAATGCCTTCGTTCCTTTAGCAGCGTAACGCCAGTGCGGCTGTGCCCCTCCAAATTTGGGTGCACGCCAGCACAGGCTCTTGTAGGGCGGCCAATAAGAAGAGAACTGGGATATGATGTGATGTCATCTCCCTGCCTCTCCCAAAGCTGCACGCCGCTGTAGAGAAGACAGGGCAGTCTACATGCCCAATTATTGTAATAAATAACAAATACTTGAGCTGTAGAAAATAATAAGAAATCATGCCAGTACATGTCCCAGGATAAGAGAAATGAATTGTATTACAAAAATGTTTTGTTTATTAAAGAAGTTGTTAAAAATATTTATATATACCCTCTAAGTAAGGGCTTATTCACACCAGAGCAGCAACGCACACCAATTGCTCACTAACGTTCCCCCTTTGTTCTGGGACGGGAGGGGGCGTGGCAGTGCGGCACCACAGCCAAGCCACACACACCCCCCCCCCCCCCCCGTTTTTCAAACTATGATCCGGCCCCCAGCAATGTCTGAGGGACAGTGAACTGGCCCCATGTTTAAAAAGTTTGAGGATCCCTGCATTAAGAGCTCATTCACTCAGGCACAAAGGTCTGTGTGCCATAAACAGACAGGACAGAGTACCAGAGAGCCACTGGTGTTGCAAGCAATCTATCTGTACACGTCAAAGACAGGATGCAGGTATATTCTGGTAAAATAAAGATATGAGCATATAAATCCTTACAGATTTGGATGCACATTCCTGGACGCAGTCTGTCTGCAACCAGGGGCGTACATACATCCAGGAGTGTCATTAAAAAATATCTGATTTGGTTCTTTTTTTTGGAACTTTATTGAAATGTAACAAAATTGAATTCATTCTTATGCACCACAGCATGTTCTGATGCAATACTCTACACTGACAAAAAAAAAACAGAACTTCAAGTACTTTGGACAAGGTAAACTGCCTTGTCAATGCACCAGGACTGTGTTGGGCAAGGCTGCGCCTTACGCCAATGCATATGATGTGAATGGGCCCTTAAGATTACACAAGCACTTTGCGGCTGTTCCAGACAGAGAATTATACGTTCAGGGTTTTCGTTTTATCACAACCTCAGACAGGAAGGCACTTTATCAGCAACAACACATACTTCATTTTGGAAAAAAAAAAAGAGAAAATCAGACAACAAAAACGTGAATGTGGAGAGAGGCGATTGTGCACGTACCGTGTGAAAAAGAACACTCTCCTCCTTTCTGTTCAGCTCCAGGACAATTGCAGACTTGTTGTGTGTGATATTCCCAATGTCATTCCACCTGCAGACAAGATTTCAAGTTAGTGTTGCCAAGACACACATTCCGACATTCCAAAGTCACGCCAGCGATATCTCTACCCGACCAGCCTCCAGCTTGGCAGCGCTCACAGCTCCGATTGCCATTAGGAGCCTTTCAAGAACTATTTATCTCACCGTAGATTGAAACATATCTCGGACGGACCATGTCACAACATATAAGAGTTTTTTTCATCCACTTGCTAGAGGGGAGGTGAAACCAAAATATCCATGTTTTGGTCTAGGCAGAGATAACAGGACCAGTTGGAAGAGACTTATTGTGGGACAAAGGAGGCAGCAGTAGTTTTATATATAGGACAGACATTCCTACTATAAAAGCTGTATAGGTTTCCTAAAGATGTTCTTTGTAGGCTCCAATTCGCTCTAAGCTCCAGATTAGTTACAAGGCGACCTAGGCAAGAACCTAGGGCCTCATGGATGTCCAGAAGACCCAACCACAGTAAACCAGGGCATTTGATCAACAATGTGCACCAGGAATGTGCACCAGGAAGAAGGTAGTTGGTGTCTGTGAGGGCTATGCCAGTTCAGACAATGCAAATGGGTCTGCTTCTCTGTGCCTACTGCAATTCCTATCAATGTCAATCAAATAGAGGGTGGGGGTAGGAAAAGCTGCACTGCTACCTTACCTACAGCCCCATTCTGGCATAATCCTTCACTGCCCTCTCCCTTCCCTCCACAGTTCCCAATTCTAGTGGGTGTAAGGGAAGAGAGTCACATGCTCCCCATTATATATTGTACATTTACATCAGTCCCTGCCCTCAGGGAGATAATCTAAGATCCCCATCTCACATGCATGCCTACATACATGCATAAATAGGGCCAATTAGGACAGGAGCCAATTAACTTGCCAGTGGGTCTTTGGAGTGTGGGAGGAAACTGGAGAGCGCGGAGGAAATCCACACAAGCTTAGGGAGAAAATGCAAACTCCAGGTAGTACCCTTGTTGAGATTTGGACTGAGGATCTTCCAGGTCAGTAAACGTATTTAAGCCAAAGCATAAGCATGACAACCAGGTAGGTGGTATACTCAGAACTAGACAATGGCAATTCTCAGCAACTGCCCTATAAATTCAAATTTCTCTGGAAATATGGAAACTGTGTAGACAACACACCAAAACCTCATATATTGTTTGCCATTACCAGGCACAGAGTACAGAGAAGAAAGTCAAATTAGATGCATGTGAGTTTTGTGGTTACCATGATAGTTTGTAACATGTGATGCATGCGAGAAGTTTTGTGGTTACCGTTATCATGAAAACAGACCTCTGTACATCTCCTCCCCATCCTCATCTCCATAACCGCTCCTTGTGCACAAGCACAGAGCATAACTTATCAGATCACAAGATCTCTGGCAAAATTCACAGATATTTTTTGCACTTGATGAACGGATAGAACAAAAACGCTTCCAATGGTATATTTAGCAGACCAAGTGGGAGAATTTCTTATTATTTATTAAAAGGTAAGTATATAGTGCCGCCAATTTACACAGCGCCTTACATAGAGCACATTCACATCAGTCCCTGCCCTCAAGGAGCTTACAGTCTAAGGCCTCAAATATATACATACATACCTACGAGGGACAATTTAGACACCAGCCAATTAACCTATCAGCATGTCTTTGGAGAAGTTGATTGTTAGGGCTTACATACACTTCAACAGGAGTTTATTTTTAATGACACATATCTGACCTGAGAAAACCTAAATGCTGCAGCAGGGGGAGCCCTCTGCTTTATTACTGAGCACTGCGTGTCCTGGCCTCCGGAATACATGTGCTGCCTTACAGTGCTTGTCTATGTTAAATCATTCTCTAGATTTCCATTTTAAACCAAAAAACTCTTCAGAAAACTTAGAGACTGACCTGTAAGAGGCTGCTGATTTCCCATGACTGTCTCCAATGAAGATACCCATGAAGAAGATACAGAGGGTCACATCATTCCCATGACTGTCCTATAAACACAGGATTATCAAGGTATTAAGCAAACAATTTGAATTAATTAACAATCTGCCGAGAGGTAAAGTGGTCCAAACAAATCACTAGCACTTTGGAGCAATGGTATGCAGGCACAAGACCGGTCTCCCCATTGAACTGGTCCCTGGTGCTGCTAGTCTAACTCACAGGAAGAGTGAGATGTGTTAATCCTTGCTGATCTGCTAATTAGCCCTCAATGAGCACAGTTCATGCAAGTATACAGAGTGCTGCAGAGAATGGACCTTGGATACGTTTGGGTCCACCAATGTGTTAAGCTTAGTAATCACTAGGTCAGTGGTGGCGAACCTTGGCACTCCAGCTGTGCCAAAACTACAAATCCCAACATGCATCTGCCTCTGGGAGTTATGTATGTTTTCTGTCAGAGCCTTGCAATGCCTCATGGGACTTGTAGTTCCAAAACAGCTGGAGTGCCAAGGTTCGCCACCACTGCACTAGGTGCTTTGAAGAGCATGGTGGAGGACACGATTGTCTGCAAAGTTCTGTGGTTAAAGTGACACTAAACTCAGGAGTTACATAGTATTTGAGGTTGAATAAAGACACAGGTCCATCAAGCTCAACCTTTGTGTGTCTGTGTGTGTTTGTGCGTGCATGTGTGTGTGTGTGTGTGTGTGTGTATACGAGTCCCTGTGTGGTCTAGTATTTAAGAGTACCTTTACCCCTGTATGTTACGGTCTCTTAAGATGGTATCTAAATGATTTTTTAATGAATCAATATTCTCTGCTGTGGCAGCGAGTTCCAGACCCCCAACCGCTCTGACTGAAAAGAAGCCTCTACGCCCCTTGTGGTTAAATCTTTTCTCCACCAATTTTAGGTGGTGGCCTCTAGTCCTTGTGACGGAGTTTACAGTAAAAAGTTTATTGCAGATGTTGCCATCACCACCTAACATTTGGTACACTAAAATCATGCCTCCTCCTAATCGCCTCACTTCCAGCGTGAACAAATTTAAAATTTAGCAGCCTTGTCTCATAGCTTTGATCCTCCAGCCCATCTTAAAAATACAAACCATTCCTTGCTTTAACTTCAGTTACCTATTTATGCTTCTCTTATTTACAGTGAGGGGTACAGTTAAAGTGACACTAAACTCAGGAGTTAAATCTTAAAAATGAATTCAAGTGCCTTGACTATTAACAAAAATGTATCTTATTTGTGTATCACTCGGCTGTAGATCCTCAAATCATCTCTGAATTGGCGCTGACACTGTCCTTCCTTCTGGAGGGTGACTACTTCTGTTCCCCCTGGTCCCTGTGTGTGTTGTAAAGTAGTCACAGCTCCAAGCTCGCTCCCGGGATAGACTACAATCTCACATTTAGTTTACAAATTTGTACTAAGATTATACTCAAATCATGGAAGCGAGATTGGAGCGGTGTCTACTTTTAAGATTTAAACTCCTGAGTTTAGTGTCACTTTAATGGTGAATCTAAACAAGGTCTGAGAGGGATAGCCAAAACTCTGCCCCTGTAGCTGTGGTGGAACTACAAATACCATTGTGTCGCTGACTCTGGGAGTGGCTGTCAGTCTTGAAATGCCTCATGGGACTTGTAGTTTCACCACAGCTGGAGGACCAAAGTTTGGCTACCCCTGGTCTAAGAAGTTGAGATTCAGTGATCGGTGATCACGTCAACCACGTAAAGTTGAACTTTAGGCAGATATAACAGTCACAAACCAGTGAAGCTCTTTTGTATGTATCAATACATCCTTAAAATGTATATAATATATTAATCATTTGTTTTTCTAAGTACATGAATTTGACATGGCATCAGCCTCTTGCAATCCCTCTACAGCAAAGCCCAGACTAGGAGAGGTAGTTTATTGATCATGCTGATAGGAGGAGAGAAAGCAGAGGGATGAGCTTTTCTTGGTGCTGCTTCTCATTCATTGTCCAGTTACAGGTCCATGACCATCTGAGGAAATGGGTTATGTGATGCTGGCTGTCATTCACCCAAAAAAGACAGAGGGCCAGGCAGAAAATACCTACTGCAGGAAGCAGCTCCTGACTGAAGGTGTGTATTTTACTTTTACTGGTTAATTCTTTATTTTTTTACATACCTTGACATGGAAACATTCCTGCCCATAGCCATCCAATTGCTGCACTTCCTGTATGTACAGAACCTCAGCCTCCTCTGGTCTCATTCCACTGCAAGTGAAAACAAACGCGGCAGTGTCATCCCACGCACGCAAGACAATGAAATCGTGCACAGACAGGTCAATAAATATTCGACTATTTAATCGCTGCTACACATTCTCCCCGTGCACAACAGATGGCTCCTCCAAATCTGGACTGCCATACAGCCACAAAGAGTGACAACTGCATGGAGACCGGGATGTCAGACCAAAGACCCGGGATATCAGAACGAGCTACAAGACCGAAGGCCCGGGGCAAACAGACCGAAGGCCCGGGGCAAACAGACCGAAGGCCCGGGGCAAACAGACCGAAGGCTGGGAGAATAAAAAAGTTGGTGCTACTAATTTTGTAGATCCTGGAAAACAGTTGCGCAAATGTTAAAATCAATATTTTCAATACAAGCACACTTGAGTGTATTACAACACATGGCGATGCATCGCAGCATTTTGCCATGTGTTGCCACACAACTTAATTGATGCTATTTAAAAAGAACAAAAAACAAGCACTGCCACGTGTTCTAACAACGCACTGCTGCGCATGTGCATAACGCACAACACATTATGGCGCACTCCCCTGATATTTTCCTTTTAAAATAGAAAAAGAGATCGAGTCCTCAATCTCCTCCTTTGCAGACCCAGCACATAACGAACAGGAAGCAATCGGTACAGAGGCTTCTTGTTCTTTTACAAACTTGAGGAGCTAGTAAATATTGACTCTGCCCCACATTATGAATGGACAGGACGTGATCTGTGTAGAGCTCCTCCTGTCCATTCATAAACTGAGGAGATAGTATTTACCATGTCCCCAGTCATGAATGATCAGGAAGTGATGTGTACCGCTTGCTGTTCATTCATAACTGGGGGCATAGTAAGAGTTTACTATCTCATTAGTTATGAATAAACAACATACTGATCACTCAAGTGTTTGTTTAGTAAAGGGAAAGATTGACAAATATTTAGCGATCCTCCACTCAGCATCCTGAAGCGTTTCAACGCCGTCCCACCTGACACTGCTGCTCTCCCCTCCCCGCTGGGCGCCGGCTGCATACTCTGGTCTGTGTCTCCCCTGATCCCTGTTGTCTCAGCCAATACAGGCAGGGGAGAGCAGTGGGAATCAGAGGGGAAACATGGAGGGGACAGATTGCCAGCGCCCAGGAGGGAGGATTGAGCAGGAGAGCAGCAGAGGGGGCAGATTTAGAACCAATAGCCGTCATCATGGCTAGGGGGGGGAGGGGTGCGTTCTATTATACGCAAGCTTAGGGTTGCTTAGGCATTTTCTTTTTTTCAGGCTTTTTTCACTTTTCTTTTTTACTTTATTTACCTGGTGATCCTGGCACCAAGACTTCCTGTCCTAGGGTGACAACACTCAATGTAACTATAGCTATGAACAAGGAGCCTCCTCCACAGTATAGGAAGTTCGTGAGGACTACAGAAAACCAACTCTCATCTCCAGGACAAAGGGTGGAGGTGTTCTGTAGTCCATAGAAAGAACTGGAAACACTGCTAACTGATAAGTCAGCAGAGAACACAGGAAGTTTATCAGCTCTCTACACTTCTGGCAGAATCAACAGGTATTTTAGCAAACAAACATAACAAAATGCTTACAGCTGCATATTGAGCAGGCCAAAAGAGATCAAATAAGAAACGTTCATTGTCAGGGTTTACATAAACGTTAAACTTACTTTAAAGATTTGTGCTCCACGGCCACTTTAAGAAGCAGTTCTTCCAGTAAGGCGGCATCCTGGGTCCAGCCCTGCAGTGGAACAAAACACCAACTTCATCATCTCATAACGTGGAACACACTGACACTCCAACAAGATATGTATATGGAATCATTTCACCAACTTCAGCTTGGGGAAGAATTAAATAAATGGATCTTCCACAGATTCTTAAAAATTATATACGAGTTCCATCTGCTATACTCACCCGCTCTCCGATGATATCCCCTGCAGGCTCACCAATGAAGCAAGGAAGTGCCATTGCTCTTTCGGGTGGCAGGACTCCCAGTGTTGCACACAGGAGGAATGCTGTAGAAACCGGTGAAAGGTCAATACATGGTGTTGCTCTATGCATCATCTAGGACAGGGGTGGGGAGACTCTGGCCCTTCAGCTGTTGTGGAACTTCAAATCCCATGAGGCATTGCAAGATTCTCACAGCCACAGGCATGACGAGATTTGTAGTTTCACCACAGCTGGAGAGGCAGAGTTTGCCCATCCCTGATTTAGGATCTGCAGATCCTATTATCTAAGAAGGTGTATACATTAGGGGTGCACCGATACTGATACCAGTATCAGTGCCGATATTGGACATTTATATGAGTATTCGTCCTCATGAAAATGCCACGATACTAAAACCCAATACAGGCGCTTACATTTATTTTAAAGGTCCTGTGCTTGCTAGGGATCTCAGGGCAGATGTTTACACAGTGCCGATACGCACATCTCTTTGCCTGCACCCGCCCGCACATGAGAGCCTGCACCTGTCCGCACATGAGAGACCGCACCCGGCCGCACACAGCCCTGATGAGCAACAGAGTATGTAGCTTTATATTGTTCTGCATTGCTGTATAATGGATTACTGAGATTTGTAGTCCTCTATAGCTAGTGGTATTCTGCATTGCTATATAATGTATTGCTGGGATTTGTAGTCCCTCTACAGCTTGGAGTCAGTAGCAGTCAGGGTCGCAGCGTCTGCAGCTGCATCCAGGCCATTGCGATCCCCACTGTCCTAAAACCATTAGTCTGTATTGTTTTCGAAAAACTGTCACATACCACAAAAAAAAAAAAAAAGGTATCAGTACTGTGGATTGCCAAGTACTCGAGGAAAAGTATTGGTAGTTGTACTTGGTCTTGAAAAAATGGTGGTGTTTACCTAATATGCATAGATATTTTTGGGGTGGAAAAGATTGCGGCGGGTACTCAAAGGGGGCAGAGGGCCAAAAGGGGGGGGAAACCTGACCCCTAGAATTAGGCAAATAACTTTCTGATTGACAAAAAGATTGTGCAAAACTAAAACACAAGGACAAAGATTTAATATATTGCAGCTTACCAGACCTGGGGTCCCCGTTTCCACCTAGACGTTTTTGTCACTCAAGAAGTCAAGTGCGACAAAACGCTCAAGTTGAGGAATCTCATTCATTTCTATGGCCCCTGTAAACACCGGAGCGTTTTGTCGCAAGCAGAACAGCGCCTGCCGCTGGAAAAAGTACATGAGCTACTTTTTGCAGATTACAGAGCTTTTTAGTCCCATAGACTTCAATGGGAAACTTTGCGCGATACACCGCCGCTGTCAGAATATCTTAACCCATTGTGCAAATTTTGACTGGTTCCTCAAGAACCAGACAAAATTTGCACAGTGCATGGCCACCTTCAGCTTTGAGTGACAAAACGCATAAGTGTGAACGGGAACTAAACCTAAACTTATTCAGGCTAAGAACATTTTCAGTGATTACTCAAATCACATGTGGCTGTTACCTAGGGTGGTCTGCATGCAAATAGGAATGCCCACTCCTCCAGACTGATATTAACCTATCACAGCATTTTGATTTCCAGAGAGTCCTCCCAAGAATCAGCTCACTGATTGTTTCAGGGCTGAGGGCTCTTGAGACCCCATTCACACTGAGCTACATCCATTATTTCAGTGCGATTTTGAGCTGAGCAACATTGAGCTCGATTAAAAGGAGAACTATGGGGTCAGTGTTTTTCCCCATAGTTCTCCTTAGGGTAACGGGAGGACACAAACTAGCGTCCTCCCGTTACCCTATGCTCAGTATACCGCGAGCTACAGCTCGCGGTATACTGAGACGCCGCACCTGGAGCGGATCCCGACTTAGATGACGGGATCCGCCCAGCTGCGTGAGTGACAGCTGGCTCTGCCTATCTAGAGGCAGAGCCAGCTGTACCCGCCCCCTACCCCTTCCGTTCCGCCAGTCAGCGCTGGCAGATCGGAGCGGGGAGAGAGGAATCCAGCCCCTCCCCCCTGTCACAGCAGCTCACCTCCTGATCTACTGAGCCGACCTGTGACAGTCTCATTGTCACAGGTCAGCTAGAACTATGAGGTGAGTGAAAAGCACTCACCTCATAGTTCTCCTTTAAGCTACAGTGCACATTTTGTCGCGCTACGTAGTGCAACTTTTCACAGGGACTTTGTAGCTGCTACATTGGGCTGTAACCAATCAAAAGCGGTCTTGATGTGACATCATTCCTTCCTATAGTTCTGTGCAAAAGTGACAATTCTGTGCCGCGACCATGTCGTGCGACATTGAGCTACACCATTGAAGTCTATTGGTCAAAACCACACGAAATCGGTCAAAAAAAAGGTCATGTTCGAGCGACAAGCTACAGGCGACATTGAGCTGTGAGATGAGCACTGCTCAATTGAAATGCATTGGACATGGACAAGCTACATTGAGCGACATTGAGCTGATATTTGAGCTAAAATCGCGCTCAGTGTGAATGGGGTCTCAGACTATAGCAGGGTGCTGTGATGTTTTCAGGTATGTACAGCACCCTGCCGGCCCCTCCCACCAGCCATGATGCATTGCATAGAGAAGCACAGGGGCTCAATTATGACATCACTGGATCTAAAATAAGGCATCTAATGAAAATAGAAAGGGTTTATTTAATATTATCATTAGTATGTCAGCGGTTTGTTTTTGTGCGCAATTCTGGCATCGTGCGGATTGCTGAGATGTGATCCGGGCCTTAACGACATCCAGAACTCAAGGTCGGCTCTAGTCATCACCTTATGCTAAAACGGCACCGGTGTTCTCCAAACTCTGCGTCTGCGATAGCACTGCAAGTCCCAGCACAACACCCGGGATCAACCAGAAATGACAGAATAGCCGTCTCAGAACGCCATGTCTGATCGTCCACAAAGGAACACACCTCGGCTTCGATCGCCTTCAATACATGTCTGAAGCTCTGCCAAGCCTAGCTGACAGATTGAGCAATAAAACACAGAGGGAATGTAACATAACAAGACCACAGTATGACAGAAGGCTTCAGAAACCAGAGCCCGGGGCGATGGGTATTGTGCTCAGCAATCCTTTCCAGCTCTTCCCCTGAGGGCTCGCACACAGTATTTGAGGCTGTCATGCAAGTATGTGGAGGGAGAGGGATCTGAGCGATAAGCAGAAAAGATACAAGTCTGTACAACTGTGACATGCAGAACGCAACTCGCTCAAAACTTCCATGCAAACTTCTGGGGAGCTGCGCCTTTCATCAACACTGGAGGATCTGCGGTGTTTACTTTCCATCAACTTAACAAAGAAAAGCACCAAAGGTGTCTGTAAACTGACTGATTACTACATACATGGCACTCTGCTTAGGTAAAGGGGACCTGTCAGAAACCTTACAAGTCTGCATGAATACATTCCAGACATGTCACAATATACAGCAACAGTATACACAAAGTTCCAGCTATTATTAAAGTGATATTAAAGTCAAAGGGATTTTAAGCTATTTCAAATGCTGATGAAATCACTTACAATGGAGGCTGCTCCTTGATGTTAAAAAGTTTTAGTTTCCTGCAGAATCAGCTGGCACTGGACCGGATATCCTGTTTTAGGGTGACCCCTTTCCTTTGCAGGGTTCTATGGAGCCACCCTTGTGTGCGTCTCCATGACTTCACCCTCCTCCCCTCTCCTCACTTTTACCTTCTCCAAGCTAGTAGATGGACAGCTGCTGGAGACTGCTCTGTCCCTTGTGATCTTGTACTGGACAGGAAGTTCAAGGAAGCTGAGAGAGTTCGAGCTGTATGGAAACATGAGGACTAAGGGCTTGCTCACAACCCTAGTCTGTGAAACACTAAGCTATGATCTGCTGCATTCTCCCAGCCTTCGAGGATCTGTGTCCACAGCTACTAATTGGCTGTCAGCTGGCCCCACCCCCAAGGAAACCCCTAAAATTGTTGAAGTGTACAACTATTAGGACCAGTTCGGAGATGAAGGGGACTTTTCAAAATGGACTGCCAGGGACCTGTGACTGGTTCAGGACTGGCCACATGGATAATATGCAGCTGGGAGACACAAATCAGTTCCATGGCTATTGGCTGGACATTTATAGGTCAAAAGAGATGCAGGACATCTTTTAATCTGCCAATGGATTAGCCAGGACTTCCTGTTTAAAAAAAAACCACCAAAATGGAATTTAGATTTCTTAAAGTGCAACTCAATTCTCTTTTAGAGCGCTATTAGTAAAACATAATGACCCAATTTATTTTTTTGTTACAAAACAAACGATGTCTCCTTTCTTTGTACAGGTTCTCTCACCCTGTGCTGTTTAAATCTTGTATTTAAAGTCTTTCAAGTCTAGCAGATCTTTGTATTAACTTCCTGGACAAGTGCACAGTCCAGCAGTAAGTGAACATCAGAGTTTTATCCCAGTGACTATAGCAGAATGTACCAATGCACAGAGATTTGCCATGGCTTTTCATAGTCTACCTTAGGAGTTTGCAGGAGAGAATGACAACGCAGCAGCTGAACCGAGTACATGTTGTCACCCTAAGACTGGAGGACACTCCTTGCCGATTGTTGTTTAAAGTGCCACTAAACTCAGGATTTAAATCTTAAAAATACATTCAAATTACCCCATTAAAAAAAAATATGTATCTTATTTGTGTATCACTCTCTGAATTGGTGCTGACACTGTCCTTCCTTTTGGAGGGTGGCTACTTTTATTCCCCATGGTCCATATGCGTGTTGTAAAGTAGTCACGGCTCCAAGTTCCCTCCGATGATGGACTAAAATATCAATACAAATTAGTAAACTAAACGCGAGATTGTAGTCCATCACAGGAGTGAGCTTGGAGCGGTGACTACTTTACAACACGCACAGGGACAATGGCAAACATAAGTAGCCACCCTCCAGAAGGAAGGACAGTGTCAGCACCAATTTAGGGCCCGTCCACACCAGGGCGTCTCCGACGCGCAGATTTTTCCGTGCTGAAATGCCTACATGAACAATCCCATACATTCCTATGGGGACTGTTCATGCAAGTGCGCGGATCCGCGCTATTCAAAACGTCTGGCCCCCAAAATGCTCCCTGAGCTACTTTTGTTGCGTTGATCAGCGCGTTTTCCATTTAGATTTCAATGGAAACGCAAGGATCAGCGCATTACTGGGCGTTTTTAATTGCGTTTCAGCTCTGGATATACGTTATTAAAAACGCCCAAAAACGCCCTTTCAAAAATCGCATTGAAACCGTGCTGAAACGCTGCCGCCCTGGTGTGAATGGGGCCTTAGAGATCTACAGCCGAGTGATACACAAATAAGATACACTTTTGATAATAGTTAGGTGTTAAATTTTAAAAATGCATTCAAGTACCCCGAGTTTGGTGTCACTTTAAATTGAGATGCACTTTAATTTGACATGATCTTCACCTCCTTCTGCTTCACCAACTGACAAGAGGAAATCCCTTCTACATATAAAAAATATATAATTATTATCCTATTTATTGAAAATACAAATATTTGTTTTAAAACAAGCCTGAAACAACAAGCCACGTTTCATGCCAAGAAGGTGATCTTTGAAGTTGCTTTCAGCGGGATGTCATACTCCATCAAAATAATTTATGAAAGATAAACATCTAGAATAGGTTGCAAATGGCGCAGCTAAATAAACCTCCCCTTATCTGTTGGAGATGATCTAAGGATCTAGGCAGCGCGAGCTGATCACGCATCAGTGGTTAGAACATGTTCTACATTCTTCGGCATATTTATCATATCAGCTAAAAATAAGGTTCCAGAAAACTCGGCAAACATTTTTTTTTCCAAATGTCTGTAATAAACACACCATAGAGTGGTAAAAAAAAAAAAAGGTTTCATAGGACTCTCTCAAAGCAATACACCTGAGTGATATGGCAACGGAAGCAGCCAACTTCTGCACCTCATACTAGTCTCAAGGCACGGGACAGATGTGCCATCGCTGCCCCAGGACTGACATCTGACACAATAGCTGGAAAATGTCTTCGATCACAGCAAAATCACATATGATGGTTTCCCTTTAATAATAGGATACCAAGTTAAAGAGAAACTATAATGGCTTGGGAAAAGTTTATTCAATTGATTTTGGTTTATATTTTTTAACTTCATAATATAAATATCTCTTACAGACATACCATCTCAGTTCAGAAATCGTTAGGAGTCAACCATTTGTGGGTGTAAATTTCAGCTTGAGCTAATGAGCTCTGCTAAACAGCAATTGTTTTCATCGTGACTATAATAATGAAAGAAATATATACAAAACCACTGAACTGTACTCATCATTATTGTTCCTGAACTGCTTCTTAAAGTGAATTTTCAAAACCTTTTACAATAGGAAAGGGTTACAACTAGGGATGCTAGCATTGGAATCGGGCCAGATACAGGGCATTTAGACAAGTACTTGTACTTGTCAAAATGCCCCGATACATAGTGCCGAAGCTTGCGCTATGTTTTTTGGGGGGTTTTTTTGGAGCTCCTCCCACCGGACCAGCGCTGACTCGTTGCTGCTCTTTCGAACACCGGCACAGTGAGTGAGGGCAGATTGGGGGGGCTTACCACTAAGCAGAGTATAATTGTAAATCTATTGTCTGCACTGCATTAGCAGTATATACTCTATATGTACTACATATAGGAGTAGACACTGCAGACAATACATTTACAATTATACTCTGCTAACATGAATGGATTAAATGATCTGTATGTAGCCCTGTACTAGGGATCATTTAACCCATTCATGTTAGCAGAGGATAATTGTAAATCTATTGTTGCAGTGTACTCTATATGAACATGTACTATATACTACATATAGAATGCACTGAACAATAGATTTACAATTATCCCCTGCTGATATGAATGGGTTAAATGATCTGTAGTATGTAGCTCTGTACTACGGATCATTTAACCCATTCAAGGCTGGCTCTTTGCTTGAGTAAGGACTGGGTGCGCATGGAGAAAAGCGCCAAAAGCAGAAGACTGTATATGAAAGGTCCATATTTAATTTTTGGCACCATCATAAAATCAAACTTGTTTGAGGAGTTCATCAGGGCTTGATGCAATTAAAGTGTGCACTGGACTGATAAAATTGGAGGGAACAAGGCGGGCAATTAGTACTTAACTGGCATCTGGAGCAATAATCAGGGCCGGACTTACTCTCTCTGCTGCCCCAAGGCCAGGTCACCAATGCACCCCCCCACCCGCCAAACCTCCACACAATGGATAATGGCAGACCTGCAGGCTGCATACAAGTGATCTTGGCGACATCGCCAAGACTACTTGTATAAAACAAGCGGCAGCTTCCCCGCTGTACATTTAGTTCATGATAGGAATTCCACACCCCTGCTGCCCCTCTACTCCCTGCTGCCCCAAGGCCGGGCCTTGGTTGGCCTTGTGGGAAATCTTACCGTGGCAATCATATTAATTACTCCTCAAGATTCCTAATTTTATTAGTTCACTGCGCACTGTGTTCAACAGTATCGAACCCTGATGAAGGGTGACCCTCAACCTCTGAAACACGGTGGCTTTTCATGATGTAGGATTCAGAATAAAATTTGATCTGGACTTTTGGTGCTTTTCTTCTTGTCCATCCAGCAATAAAAACATGAGGTTTTAACCGTTAGCTACCCTAGCCAAAAAAAATAAAAAAATCAGCTTTAGATAATTTTTTTCTGTTTTCTGTTGCCCTAGGTTTATATTCATGTGCTAAGTGTTCTAACCTTTCACTACTATATCATCCATTAATTAAAAATCGGACGCATTTAAAATTATCATGGTGGGTTACACATTCAGTTCTATTCATCAATATCCATGTATAGAGTTTTAAGAGAAAAAGAAATCACATTGATTTGGGACAATGGTGCAATGTAAAGTAATACATACAATGTAATATGGAAACTTACCACGGGAAACAGCATGCACTCTCTGAGGAAGTCATGCGTCTCAAACAGATTGTAATCTTTAAACTCCACTGCAAGACAGAACACATTCCCATTCATTAACAGAAACATCAAAACATTTGGCAAATAAAAAGCTGCAGTGTTAGTCCTATATAGAGTATCAGACTTTCTCATTAGGAGTTGGTGTATGGATCGGGACCTACTAACACGCCAGCTGCCAAGGAGATGCTGAGCCGTATTAGCCATAACAGGCATTCAGGTATTTATAGTTCCTTAGTGGATAGAGGGCCATCGTCTCCCCATGACTGCTCTAGCATGGCAGTCACCACAAAGCTGTCCTATCTATCCCAGCTGTCACAAATATTGATCAGAGATGAGCAAGTAAATTTAGTGATCACCCCCCTGATTGACTCAAAGTATTTAGTAAAACCTCAGCAAAAGAAATGCACAAAATTGGCAAAATGTCTGACATTTTCTGCTAATTGAATCTTTCTCTTTCATTAAGGGGCACAGGATTTAGACACAACTGGAACATCCAAAAAGCACCGAGGGTTGGGCAACAGCAACGAAAACACCAAAAAGGTCCAAAAAAAAAAAAAAAACAACAATAGAATTCGAGGCAGCCTGCAGCACCTTGTGCCTAAAGCTGGCGTTAGATGAGGCCTCAGCACCACCCTGATAAAACGTAACATGTGTGAACAGAAAACCAAGTGGCAGCCTTGCAACTGAGTAAAGCTGGCCATACACTGTTCTATTTTTCCGCAGGCTGAACGAACAAAATAGTACAGATTCCTACATCAACGCATATGTGCGTTGACCATGGAATCCCAGCTATTTCTTCTGTATTCTGACTGGCCACCGCAGAATACCAGAACAGAGCCGGCAGCTCAATGGCTGCCGGCTCTGTTTGTTCGAAGATTTTCCGGCCGGCTCCTTCGTTCAGCTGATCGAGAGATCCCGGCTGAAAGGGTGGCGGCAGCAGCACCCACTGTGCAAAGTTCCTCAGGAACAGGCTGAACAATTGCATAATGTATGGCCAGCTTAACAGAAAGACCAAGAGGCACTCAACGTCGTAGAAGAAGAGTTTGCCAGGAAAAGTTGTAACCTGGTCTTTAAGCCTATAAGCTTGTATAAAGAAAGATCTGTAAGAGCTACCTATAAATAGAGAGAGAAGTTGGTTGCCCTTTATTGGGATCATTAGGAATGACAATAAGAGAAATCAGTCTTCCTAAAGAAATCAGAGGCTGAGGGGCAAACCCACACAGCATTACCTAGATCCATGCAATGAAGAAAGACTTCCTTCTGGTGAAATTGAGCTGGATAGACAGGAACAATGTCCTTGTTGAGGTTGAAGGCAAAAACCACTCTAGGAAAGAAGGTTCCTCACAAGACAAGACTGCCAGCTCAGGGACCCAACTCTCAGAGGTGATGGTAACAAGGAACACAACCTTGTGAGTGAGAGTGGAAAGGGGAATATCCCTGACAGGTTCAAAAAGGCAGCAACTGAAGAGCCAACAGGACCAAAATCAAATACAAGAGTTGCAGGGATGAAATATTGGGAGAGTTTCATGAGAAACACGCTGTACCAAATCATAGGAAACATTCCATCCTCTCCAGCATTAGCTACGTAAACATATTAAAATGTCACCTCTGTAGTGCCAAGAACTACAGAAGAGAAATCGGAATAACTCTGCTACGGCAGGAAACGGCTGTGGGACGCCTATGGGTGCATTTATAAAAAGTTTGCAGAGCAAACAGCGCTGCAAAGATCGGAGTTTTAGAATCACAGAGCATTATGGCCACTAGGTGGAGCCAAATAGCATTGGAATTTCCTATGATCCTCTGCTTTATCTAGTGGCCATAACTGTGAATCTAAAACTATTCTATAAATACGCCCCTTAATGTTACACAGTTAGAAACATGATTACAATTCAAAAGAGGAAGTTATATCAGATCTTGGATTACTAAGACTCTGGCAACAAAATGTCTTCGTGGAAAGATTTAAGCCGGTGCTTTTATTTTTGGCAGTTAAAAAGTTGGAGTTCTGCTTTAAGGGAGAAAGACCCAGGCAATCAAGTGGTTAAGAAAGACAAAAGGAAACAAGCACCAAGAATACATAATCACCAAAACATATCATGCAAAACCTTATAGAAAATAATAAAATGTATGATTTATAGACAAGGGGAAAATAAATATTACCTTGAATGGCCAGGGCAGCCAGTCGGATGTACTGCTCCACAGTACAGTGCACCTGCCCATCGTAGACATTCTTTCTTAACTGGAGGTAATACTGGTACCTGCAAGACAAGGAGTCATGTCATCAGCATTCATAGTCAGAGGATACAGCTGGGCTTACTACAATACTTAACAGAGCGACGTGTCTGACAGGAAGAACATGACCAAGACAGCAACACTAGAGGATGGATAGTTATAGACAGAATACTTGCACTGGCTCAATTACTCAGAAGGTATATAACCCAAAAGTGCCAGCAGGATAGCAGCATGTTAAAGAAGAGGTCAGCAGTGGCAGCCTCCTTATTTCTTTCATGACAGGTTCACTTTAATAACAAACAATGCCTATTAAAAATTGCAAATGCTATACAAAAAAGTGCCAATGTCTTGTGCGAGTGTGATGGATAGGATAGGATAGGATAGATAGATAGGATAGAGAGACATGCAACTCTTTAAGGCAGTATGTAAAACATCAGTTCGTACAACAATCTTTTACAAAGCACTTGCAATGCTAGAATCCTTAAAGATTAAGTAAAGTAACTTTTAAAGGCTTCAACAAAGATAGTTTAAAGCTAAACTCTGGGCATGAAAAACTTTTATCTAAAAATGCATTCCTCAACAGCTAAAAAGGATAGAAATCCCCTTCATGTGCACCAAAGGCCATTGCAAACCCAGGTACGGTACCACCTTGCAGAAGTAGCAGTGACATCATCATTGTGCTGTAGATAACCTGTGCACTGAGCAGAGCTGTGGGAGGGACCCAGCAAAAACACCCACTACAGGCTGCCTGCAGAAAACTACAGGAGGGGGCGGAAGACTAGACCAGGCACCCTGCACAAGGAGAGAGAGCAGCAGTGACCGGTCTTCATTACAGGAAGCTTTTCCTTCCTGGATTACTGCACAGATGTGGAAGAAATACACACAGCACAGCAAGATTCACCAATACACATGGATCTTGTATTTAGACAATATTTGCTTTTCCCGGAGTTCAGGTTTAAAGTAGAAGTTGGGCACCATTCTAAAAAGATGTGCTGCTGTACTTAATTATACGTGCGCTTACATGTTGCCACCAGGCCTTAAGCAGGAGTGTATTTAAATTTAGAAGCCGTCAGGCTTCTTTGGATTGATAGTTTGGCTTTCTGCAGTTTCTCCTGAGCTCTGGTGATTGATTACTATTGCCTGCTGCTGGGGGCGTGTACCTGGTAATAGTGTGGGAGGCTACACAAATCAGAGTGAGCAATGTTTGTACCTCCCCGACCAACAACTAGGCAGTTTGTTACTAGTGGTGTATGCTGGGAGAGGGTATAAATGTTCAGCAGTGACCTCGAGAACTGTGTACCCCTGGACTACAACCTGGGGGAGGGATGTTGTGAATTTGTCTCATCCTCCTAGGCCGGCTGACTAGGGAGGAGACCATGGGCTTGGACTGAGGCCTAGTGTGTGTGAAGCTTTGGTATGGAGACGCCATGGAGGAACCTCAGTTTGAATAAGGAGCCTGAGAAGCTGGGTAGAAGGTTGGTCCTCGACTGAAGTATGGCAATACCTTCTCAATGGACTGGTGGCTGTAACATCGAGTATCATACAGCCGGGAGCTAAAGTCACAGATTGCCGGGTCAGCTTAAAGGTTCTCAATCTGTGAAGGCTGCAAGTCCTATGTTCTTTCATTTTGGAGCCTCCAACATCATGGATGTCCTCTGCCCTAACCCTCTCTCCCAAAAGTGTTCAATAAAAGCTCATCAAGTATCAGATCTATTGGGGCAGCGATGGAACCAAGAACCCTAAACAGGCTGGGAGGAACCAATCAATCCAGCAGCTCCTTCAGGGGTGAGCACTACATACAGTTTTCGGTCAGTCCCTCAAACACCTGTTGATTCTGCTAGTAAAGTCCTCACAATGCAGCTTCCTGTGATGGTGTGGCAACAATGCTGCACTGATCCTGAATTGGAGCAGAACTGCCACGTTTGCACCACGGGATGGAAGGAGAAAATGTTGCAGGGAGGCATGGCAGCATTGTCATGTCTGATTGACAAGCTTGTAGCCTGTCAACCAGCATCTGGCCACACATAGTCCTGCCCACTGCTTTCAAGATTGGCAGTATTGCTTCTGTTGGTGAAACCCTCCCACTGTGAGCTGCAGTGTCTGGGAGGGGAAGCGTGTGAGACAGAAATGAAGGAAGCTCATCACTCAGTCAAGGGAGGTAACTGAATTGTTTTGCTTACATTACGAGTAGGGATGCACCGATAACCGTTTTTTCGGTATCGAGTACCAATATTTTTTTATTATACCGAACACCGATACCGGAAGTCCATTCAAAAAGGAAGCCAGGCGGCATGAAAAGACTTGCCACCTGGCTTCCTGATTAGCAGGAAAGCAGTCTCCATGCTTCCACGTCACCAGGTGACGAGGAAGCATGGAGTCGGCTTTATGGCCAATCAGGAAGCCGAGGGGGCGGGTAACGACTCACCCCGCCTGGCTTCCTGATTGGCCAGCTTCTCAGCCAATTAGGAAGCCAGGTGGCAAGTCATTACACGGCACCCGGCTTCCTGATTGGTGACAAAGTGACCAAGGAGCATGGAGCCAGCTTCCCAGCCAATCAGGAAGCCCGGCAGCATATAAGGACTCGCTACCCGGCTTCCTGATACTGGAAGTTCGGGGATCGGGCTAGGCATCGGTGCATTTGGGCGAGTACGAGTATCTCGGTATCTGTACATCCCATAATATTAGTATCGCTACATCCCTAATTATGAGGATTGTGCGTCACATAATACTTGGTTTACACCGTCCTACAGAAACCTTTCGTTGTGCTTTAAATATCTGTGCCAGGGGGCATATTACATTGCCACGGCAGGTTCTTTGATTTACAAGGGGGGCATCTTGGCTGTAGCCGAAGGAGCAAGACTGCAAGATGGGCAGAACAACGCACTATGTTAAGAAGACCTTTTAGAAGTCCATAAGAGATCCGAGAAGTCAGCAGCTCTGCGTTGTTCTGACTGCCGGAGAGAGAGAGAGAGAGCTTAAAGTATAAATAAGAAGAAGCAAAACATCATCTGAAGCTTCATGTGATTTCTATTTTGAGAACAGAACACATCTTGGTGGAAATCTGTCGCTTTATTGCTTCAGGAAAAACAGCTCCGTACAACTACAGCTCTGACAACAACAAAAAATGATATATATAGACAATGTCAGAGATGTCACATCTCAGCACCAAGCTAGAAGTGATTCCAATTCGGAGTTCTATCATTGGGGGCCGCCAGTGGCTGAAGAAGGAAGATGCTGGGTCCACAAGAAGCAGAGGAGAGGATGGCAGTGAACAAAGTGCATCAACCTCTTGCAATTCCCTGTATAGCAGAGTTCAGACGGCGGGAGGGAGCAGCACCACAAGGAGCCAATCAGTTATACTGCATTGCTAGGAGCATGCTTGATGGGAGGAGAGCACAGAGTGAGCTCATCGGTCTGCTGCTTCTCCTTTCGCTGTTCAGTCACTGGCTGGAGGTGGGGAAGGAGACCTATAACTTAATTGCAGCAGAGAAATATTAGGTCTCCTGCTCTGCTGGGTGTCAGAGTTGTGTAAATCTCAGGACTGGATGGACAAAAAAAAAAAAAAAAACCGTCTTGGCGGGGGAAAGCTCCCCAAAAAAAAT